TTGGGGGAATGAGGTAGAGAATGACCAAACTGGAGAAAATCCATTAGACTGTGATGCCACAGAAGTTCTGAAAGGACGTGTTTTCAAGAAGGATCAAGGATGATGAAAATAAAGTGACCTCTGTCTTCGACCACATAGTGGTTACTGGGTACCATAATGAGAACAAGAGAACCAACCTGGGAAAAATAAAAGGTAGTGGTCAGAATCTGGAATGCCTGAAATTGAGATATTTTATGAGAGTGATAAATATTTCCATTAAGAAAAGTCTGTGTTTGCTTTAACAAATGGAATTTACCCTCACAAATTGGTGTTCTATATATCCTACAAAAAACCTAATTCAATAATGGTCATTTCAAAAAATAAAAGAAACCGCCATTTTAAAATTTTCTACTCTAGTGCTATAGTTCTTTGAGCCTATCAAATTATTGGGTTGTTCACTGTTTTCTCCATTTCCCTCCTTACTTAGTTATAACCATAATGTTACAGTCACACTATGGAAGGCAGAAAAATACCTACCAACATGTCCACACCTTAATCCCTAGTTCGGTTACATGACAAAGGGGAATGAAGGCTGTGGGTGGAATTAGAGTTATTAAACAACTGACCTAATGAGCTCCATGCAATCACAAGGGTCCTTAAAAGTGGAAGAGGGGATTAGAAGAGAGAACCAAAAGTTGGCAGGCAGCATGAAGAAAACTCAGGCCTATACTGCTGGATTGGAGTGTGGACAGGGACTCTGAGCCGAGGAACGTGGCCAGCCTCTGGAAGCCAGAAAAGGCAAGGAAACAGATCCTCCCTCAGAGTCTCTCCTTTCCATACCTTGATTTTAATCATTAAGACCCATTTTGGACATCTGACCTCCAGAATTATAAGATGATGAATTCACAGTATTTTTAGCCACTCTATTTGCAGTCATTTGTTATAACTGCCATAGGAAATCAATACACAATTGTCAAAGTCACTCCACCACCCCCCTTCTCCTTCTCACTGTCTATCATACACACGAAGCCAAACTCAGCCCTAGTGGAAACAACAGTATTCCTTGTACTTGCCCTTAATTGAAGCAGCTGAAAATATTGATATTTGGAAAAATTATTTTGAAAATTATTTCAGTTTCGAAAATATTTCTGACTGGATTCACAACAAATTTGTGATCTTGAGCACACACAACACTGCCTGGCAACCTCGCAACCACTTGTTTGCCTCAAATCTTTGACAGCTTCACCATTCAGCACCCAACCTTCTATGTTTCTTGGCTTCTTCATATCCTATGATGATCAACTATCCTACTGTAGCCATGCAGTCTCAGGGCCAGGCCAGGATCCCAAGTGAAAGGATCAAAGAACACTCCAAAGATTGCAGAACATTCCAGACGCAACACTTGAAACCATCTGGTGCTCTGTGGCCAGTCATATGGAATATTGTGAGCAGTTCAGCTTGGCAGAGCACAGGGCTCAAAGCCTGGCACTTCTTGACAGGGAAGCAGGGTCCAGTTTCTTGCACTCTTGTTTTATCCTGATTGAAACCATCAGCTGGTCTCTGGGCAGGCCTGAGCAGCAAGCTCCAGGGGCAGAGGGCTAGCGTATGTGACTCCAGCTTGTAGGCCAAGTCAGGGTTCATTGTGCAAGCCCCGTGGGAGTCCTCTCAGCACAGCCTGACCCTGGTGCTGGGCCCAAGGGGTTCTGAAGAGGAAAAATGAAGGGAGAATAAGGTGAATTTACAGTTTAGGGAAAATCCAATTAATATGTTTATCCTTCCCTCTCCCTCCCTCTCCCCTGCAGAATATCTCTGATTTATAGTTGACTGTTAATTTTGGTTTTTTATTTATTATTATTTTTTTCTTGATCCCTTATTTGGTTCCCCTATACTCCTCCTATAAGTGAAATCAATTTTAAGGGACTACACATGAGAGGAGAAAGCAAACACTGTACAAAAATGAACAATGATTAAAATATATATATATAAATAAATTATAAAAATTATGCTTACCCTGAGGCATCAACGAGATGATGAATTGTCTCTGTGGATGGCAAGGCCCTGCACAAGCAGAGGGTAGGGTGGCAATATTATTCTCCTTTCAAACCCCACAAGCGAGGCGAGCCTATGAGAGAATATGGGTCTTTGGCGATGCCAACTCACCCAGGCCCAGGGCCCAGCAGGGCTGCTCAAAAGAAAGGATGGTGCCCCGACATTCAACCCCACTCCAGGGACTGGACTCTGGGTCACAGGGCTTCCACCCCCTTGAGATATAGGAGGCAAGGTCAAGTCCCTGCCCTCCCATGGCTTCCTTGGACAGCAGAAAGTGCTGGGCCTGAACACCCCAGGCCGTTTACCCCTGTCTGGCTGTGACACGGTGAACTAGGAGGTTAGCAACAGCCATGTCACTCCCTGGGGGTGAAGGGGACAGGGTGTCATCTGGGGTGCAGTCTCTTATGGTACCCAGCACCACAGCACCACCAGCATCACACCTGGCCACATGAGCAGAAACCTAGAGCAGAAGAGAAAAACCAGTGATGGGGATCATGATTCCAAAGCCCTCGTGACTCAGTCAACAAACATCTGCCTTGTGCAAAGACACCGTGGGTGTTTCCCACTTGAGGAAGCTCTGGATGGGACAGTCCCCTTCAAAGGCCTGTGCTTTCATAGGGGAGCAGAAAATGTCCACATGTAATTTAGGAGAGCCTCTGGCGCTGATGAGGATGGAGGGGGAGCAGATACAGAAAAGAAGGCTTCCTGGAGGCTGTGAGTTTTGAGCCAGGCTGTAAAGGAGAGCTTTGGATTGGACTTCCAGGAGCGCCCCACAGAATGTCTGATGTTAACTAGAAACTTCTCAGGTTGTTGTGGTTGTGGGTCCCTCCCCCTGCCCCACTCTGACGTCCTAACAGAAGAAAAGAACAACTGGCCACAGAGACAGTGGGGTGGGAAAGAGAGCACCTTTCCCTAAGGAAATTGGAAATCGTGGATTGTGCCCATTTCCTGTCTTGGAGAAGATAAGAAGTCATCAGCAGGAAGGCTGGAGCTGGAGGACACAGACCAAATCCACAGGAGATCAGCCGTGTGACCTCCCAGATGGGTTTGCTTTCCCAGGAAGGCTCAAGCAGGTGACTGAGGCCCTGGAGACTGTCCCATGGATTTCTGGACTATGTATTTGACATTCAGAAGTCTGTAATGTCAGAGCTGGCAGAAAATTCTCCTCTGGTTTCCCTCAGGTGTTTCTGAAAGACACACCCATTCAGTATTTTCTTTTCTCTTTTGTGCTTGTCCCAGGGACTTGGAACCATCTCTCTAACCAGCTTGCCACAGCTACAAAAGGACAGCTCCTCCTCCAGGGTCCTCTTCACTCCCCAACAACTTGCTGCAGGACAGTAACTTTCTCCTTGGCAAACACAGTGCTCAGACCTTCCTCCCTGCACAGAGAAGAGGCTCCAGGTGCACACTTCTTCACCGGAGACTTCATGATTAACAGGTGTCATCATGTTGTATTTCAGCCCCACTGATAAGTAGAGAAGGGCAATGGCAGAGGAAATGATTCACTATAAACAGTGTTTTGGCAAATACATACTTTACATATATGTATATTTTTAATAATAAAAAAAAATCTATCAGAACACTGACACCATATGCAGCTGGAGGACCTGGCTTTTGGCCAAATGTCCCACAGGAATGATGGTGGAGGAGGCACTAGGATGGAGACCATAAACAATTGTGCCTTTTTTGGGTTTCATGGGTCAAACAATGACAGGTACAAATAACAATTTCAAAGTGACACAACATTGGTACATGCTAAGATAGCACCCCAAAAATATGTTTTAGGTGTAAATGCGTGATTTACAGAATACAGTTGATCATCTTGTATAGGAAAGAATGAGAGGGCACATTAGGAAGACTCTAGGCCTAAAGAGAGCTATATGTTTCTATGTCTTCACAGTGGTAAAAGATTGTATGTGTGTGTGTGTGAAAGAAAGGGAGAGGTTTTTTTAGCTCATGTTATAAATTATTTTTTATCAAAAAAACTCTATTATTGATTACTGAATGGTTTTGGAAATTCACTTTTGTGGTAAGTTTCATAGTATTTCTTAGTGCACTCAGTTGAAATTAATTAATCAGGGCCTCCCCGGTGGCGCAGGGGTTGAGCGCTGGGTTGCGAAGCTGCCCACGGCCTCTGCGGCGCTGGTTTGATCCCCGGCTGCTCCCCGGCCACCAGAGGAGGGTCCCACATGGTGCGCAGACCTCTCCTGCCAACCGCTGCTCCCCTCAGCAGTGTACTTCGGTCCTTCTGCCTGCTCTGCTCCTCACTCTGGCTCTGGTGAATTCTCTCACCCTCCCACGCTTCTGACTGTACCCAGTGCTTGTATAAACAAACAAAACAAATCAATAAATAAAGAAATAAATAAAGAAATTAATTAATCAGCAATGCAATGACACGCTAGAAGAGAAAGAAATGACTAACAGAACTCTGTCCTTACAAGAGATTAGAATATTTGATTGAAATCATATGCTTATGAATTAATATCAGTATTTGAAAATACTTCTCTCATGGATTAATATGCAAGACATTTGTGAAGATGAACTATGTAAAACTTCATTCCAGGCCAGATGAACACAAATAATGAATTTTGATGATCAAGAACACTAACTTTGAAGGTCAATTAAGCAAATATTATTCTTCCAAACGAATTCCAGTCTTCTCATTGATAAACCCATATCAATTTTGTATAAAATTATCACTCTCTGAGCTTCAACAACAAATATTTGTGGAAATTTATACACAATAGTCTGTTTTACAAGTGAGTTCGCCCCAAACCAAAATATTTGCTCTGCTATTTACAAAATTTTCCCCAATATTGGACCTGGACAGTGGAAATAATAAAAGGCCAGAAATCATGCGGACCTAAAAGTAACACAATGCTCTAAGGCCTCAAACAACTGGAGACGACTGCGAGCAATTCTAGAACGCAACAGCCTCGGTCATTCATTGGACACAGGGCATGTCAATCCTCACGTCTCAGCAAATGAGCATGGAGATCGTGATGCGGTGACTCGGCCTTTTCTTGATGCTTCCCGCCCTGCCCCCCGTCACACGCCAGGCGCGATCTTTCCAGGCTAGTTGGCAGCGGTGAGTGGCGCAGCAGCCTCGGCGGGTAGTCCCTGGCCCTTCCTGTCCTGGTGCCCCCTCCGGCACCTCCACAGACGACTGTCCCCTCGACGCGGGCTCCTCTGCCACCCCTGACTCCCCATTTCACCTCTCTTCAGGCTTCCCTTCCCCACCTCAGACTCCCCTCAGGCTCCCCTCGGTGGCCGCCATCTTTGCTGTCGTCGCCACAGCCCGAGAACCGGTCCGGTTGAGGTCGTGCCTGGTGCCATGTCCGCCGCAGGGGACAGAGAACTGCACTCAGGTGGACGGGACCACCCTGTGGGACCGGAGGGAACTTGGGCCATATCGGTGGGCGCTGGTGACTGGGTGGTCAGAGACTCCGGGGCCCACGAGAGCGACTTGGTGTCAGCAGCCCGGGAGGCCGGAGTCAGTGGGGAGGCCGCGGTCAGTAGGGAGGCCGCGGTCGGTGAGGAGGCCGCGGTCAGTGAGGAGGCCACGGTCAGTGAGGAGGCCGCGGTCGGTGGGACGGCCGTGATCCGTGAGGAGGCCGCGGTCATCGGTGAGGAGGCCGCGGTCGGTGGGGAGGCCCTGGTCGGTGGGCAGGCCGCGGTCGGTGAGGAGCCCGCGGTCAGTGGGGCGGCCGCGGTCGGTGGGGAGGCCGCGGTCGGTGGGGTGGCCGCAGTGTGCGGCGTGGCCGGGGCATTCGGTGTCTCCGGGGGGCTTGGGTTCCCCGGGGCATTCGCAGTCTGTGGGGTGCCCGGGATCACTGGGGCTCTGGGCAGCTTCGGGGTGACCGGGGCCCCGGGAAGATTCGCCGACTGTGGGGTGGCGGGCGGCCCCGGGGAGCCGGGCGTCTGTGTGGCGGCCGCGCGCGGCGGCCCCGAGGTGGCGGGCGGGAGCGCGGGGTCCGACGCCGCCGGCGCGGCGGGCGGTCTCGGGGATCTCGCTGAGGGGCCGGCGATGGCCCTGGTGCCCTCGCCGGGGAGCTGGAGCAGCGAGGACTCCGACTTCGGCCCGGCCGAGGAGGAGCAGCTGCCGCAGGGCCTGGACGCCGTGGTGGATTCGTACCACTTCCCGATGGCCGGCTTCCGCTTCATGTTCCTCGACATGGTCCACTCGCTGCTGTACCGCATCTACTACAACGACCACGTCCTCATCCGCACCCGCGGCGGCCGCCTCATGGTGCGGCCCCGGCCTCGCACGCCCGAGGCCTCCCAGCCGCTGCCCGCGCTGCAGGCGCCCGAGCCGCAGGCCGAGGGGCCCAAGGCCTCGGAGGCCCAGGGTCTGGCCGGGGCAGCCGCTGTGGGCCCCGCCGCCCTGGAGCCCGCGGAGGAGCTGGGGGCGATGGGCCCAGCCCCTGAGGGTGAGGACGGCAGGGGGGCCGGGCTGGGGGGCGGGAGGAAGGCTGGACAGGATCGGGTGGGGGTGGGGGACCTCCTCCGGGGCACCAGCAGCCCCTAGAGCCCCCAGGCGGGGCGGGGGTGGGGCCCCGGGGAGCCCATTCCATCATGACCTCTGCGGTCCTGAGACTTAATGGCTGCCCTCTACCAACCTCGCCCTCAGATAAGAGATCTGAGACCCTTGGGGCAGCTTGAGAGCCACAGAGGAATGTCGGTGGGAGGTGAGTGCTCAGGAGGGGCCTGGGGAGGAAACACAAGGGAAGCCAGAAGGAGAAGAACCAGAGAACTCCATCCCTCGTGTTTGGTTTGTGACTAAAAAAAAGTCAAGATCCTTGGAAAGCTGATACCAAACAGGAACCCTTGGTAAAAATTAAGTCTTCGGGGGGCTGGGGAACCATGGAGCTACACCATACAAGTTGTCCTTGAGGCAAAAATAAATTCTCCAAAATGTTCTGACCACACATAGAGGCTGCATTAGGCCCGATGATCCCCACCCCTTGTCCCAAGGGCCAGAAGTAATGGGCTGCGCAGGGCGGCAGGTTTACTGGAGAGAGAAATGATGCCACTGTGGAAAGAGACCGCCGCAGGAATGTGAGGCCCGTGGCAGTGGAGTGTCGGCCAGTAGGGAAGGGCCCGGCTACTCTTTTCTTAGCTGTTTCTATCCCGCTGCTCTCCTGAGGGCAGAAGACTGGATGCCACTGTTGGTTATAAATTGGGTATTTTTTCCTATAAATGTCCCAAAGTCTGTATTATTCTTTACTTACTAAAGAAACAATGAAATATCAGTATGAAAACTGTGGTGCAGAGGCCCAAGATGCTGGGATTGAGGAGGAAAGAGAGAAAGTTAACAGAAAACAAGGCGGACCAGAAAAGGATCCGGACCAGGAAGAGAGCAAGCCCGGATTCCAGGTACGTGTTTATGGCTTAGAGTACTACCCAACCGTTCCTGGCAGTCACCTGTTAGCAACAACTTTTTTTTTTTAATTCTCCCAGTAAATTAAGAACAAGTGTGTTTAAAATTAGCTTAAAATTCAATTTTAGCTTCCTAGAATGTTAATAGAATACTCAGTATAATAAAACTCGGTATACTTGATGGCTACTCATTTTTGTCTTCTGTAAGACTACAAACAAGCACAAAAGGTGTCAATACTTAAGACCAATATTTGTTTAGAAAACAGTTACTGGAAGCAGCTGCTGTGCACTAGTTGGGCCTTCATTACTTGGCCACAGAACAGCAGTTCCTGTGCTAAGTGGGAGACGGTGCCCTTCGGAACCTCACTACTTACAAAAAGCACAAAGTTAAGAATTTCAAGTAGGGGGGCCTCCCCGGTGGCACAGTGGTTGAGCGCTGGGTTGCGAAGCTGCCCGCAGCGTCTGCGGCGCCGGTTCGATCCCCTGGCTGCTCCCTGGCCACCAGAGGAGGGTCCCACATGGCGCGCAGACCTCTCCTGCCGCCCGCTGCTCCCCTCAGCAGTGTACTTCGGTCCTTCTGCCTGTTCTGCTCCCCGCTCTGGCTCTGGTGAATTCTCTCACCCTCCCGTGCTTCTGACTGTACCCAGTGCATGTATAATCAAAACAAACAAACAAATAAACAAACAAACAAATAAATAAAGCATGCCTCTATTAAAAAAAAATTAAAAAAAAAAAAAAGAATTTCAAGTAGGAACGCATTTAATGTTAATACCTACACATTTGTTCAGCTGTTGGTTTTTCTCTTTTATGTGACAATCAGAGGAAACTCTGGTTATTATTGTTTATCGCTGAATCGGTAATTCTTTTAGTATATTTAAATGATAAACATTTTCCTTCGCATTTTCACAGCTGTGTATTTCATAATAACAGCCTCTTTCTCGTGTGCTAGATCTGGAAACTGAGGGCCTGGGAGGGTAAGAAACAGCCATTTGTGGAATAAGCAAAGGCTTTTAGGGTGGAGAGATTTATTTAAACCCCAGGAAACAAAATGCATTTATGGTGTTAGACAAGAGGGAGACAAGGTTGATATGGCTGCATGGTTGAAGCCATTGGTTACACGAGCACTCGGTATCCAAGGGTGTGAGATTGAAAGAGGAAAATGGGTTGTTCTCTGGTTACTGAGACATAGCACACAAATGCAGCAGATACATATATCTATATAGGATGATTTCCTTACATTTAGAAAGTAGTTGATGCTGGTTACTGTATAACTGATTTTCTCTCATTTTCCTATTAAGGAGTAGAAAAGGATGGAGAAAGAAGAAAGAATCTGTTCTTCACTTCATCACCTGAAAAGTGACATCCACTGACGTGATAGTTCTCTAACCTTTTACAGATGTATTTAATAGCATGTGTTCACGTTTTAAGTTTGTTTTAGATAAGTTGAAACATAGGCAGATTTTTAAAGGGTAAATAACACTCAAACCTGTTTTACCTTCTTGTATTGGCCAACTTTACCATTTGTTAAAGCATCACTTTCCACCACTTGGGAAGCTTACATTCCTTTATCACAGCCCAAGTGTTCAGTGTCAAATGTAAAACAATTTTTGTAAAGAGAGAAATGGAGGCCAAGCCTTTAGAGCTACACTGTATTTTGTTAGTCGCTAGCCACGTGTTGCTGCTACACGTTTGAAATGTGGCTAAGTCTGGTTTGAGGTGTTCTGTGAATGTAAAAAATACTTTAAAAGATATTAATAACTTATTACATATTGAAATGATAGTGTATTGGAATAAATGAAATAAAGCATTAAAAATTACTTTGAACAGTCTCTCTTTACATTTTTATCGTGGCTACTAAAATATTTAAAATTACACTTGACTCGCGTTGTGTGTGTATTGGACAGCACTGCTGAGCAGTTTTGAAGGAAATGTCATGAATGGCCAGTGTGCCTGGAGGCCAGATAGTGCTCTGAACCTGGGCTTTGACTTTGATTTACAGCAATAGTTCTCCAAATGTAGACTCTGGACTAGTGTTGTCAGCATCACCTGAGAACTTGTTAGAAATGCAAATGCCCAGGCCCATCCAAGATCTGAGAATCAGAAACTCTGGGAGTGGGGCCCAGCAATCTGTGTTTTAACAAGCCCTCCAGGGGGTTCTGATGCAGCTGTTTGAGAAGCACTTAGAGCCACAGGGTAAGGTGCTGAGACCCTCCACCCACCCCTCAGCTCCTACAAGGAAGGACCAGCCTTAATTTCACTCCTTTGGGACTGTTGCAGGTAAACTGAACAAGATGGCAAGGTCCGGGCTTAGAAAGAAACTAGAACTTACCGGGGGGTGGGGTGTGTGTGTGACAGAGGTGCTAAAATTGGGTGATCGCAGCAGAAAAATGCATTAGGGTAAAAGCTGGTTCCAGAAGGATAGAGATGATACCATGTATAGGAAGTCTTAAGAACATGCAGAATGATCCCCCACCATATGTTGATTATTGATTGTGGATACAAAAGTCTGGAATAAAAAGCATGTGCATGAGAGATGCATACAAATTTAGCAACGTGGAACAGGCGGGAGCAGGGAATAAACATCTCATTTAGGTTAGTGGTTACCTCTCCCAGAAAGAAAGGGAGGCCTTGACGGCGGGAGGGGGCGCTGTTCAGCTCTATCTATAATGCAATATTCCTTCAGCCTGGTGGTGGGTGTGCATGGATGCTCTGCCTATGCCTGTTAATGTGAAAGCACATCTGCAAACCTTTCTTGAAACCAATGCCAACATTTTAAAATACACTATCATGCATTCCTTATGGCTAGTACCACATGGCGAGACAGAGGCACAGGCAGGCCCCTTGTCATCATTACCTAAAATGAAAAGGCAGGCCACTAGTTTTTCCATGTAGTGTGGTTTGAGGGGCTTCATATTGGTTCTACTATAGCATTGCTTTTAGACCCAGGGAAGAGGAACCTCTATCCTGAGCTTGTGCTTTGAAAACCCACATCGGCCCTCGCCACCACCCCCCTCCATGTGAGGCCAACAACTCAGCCCGTGTGAACAAGGGGTATACCCCTGCCAGCCCATGCTCCAGGTACCTGGCATCCCAGATCCTATGTTATTCTCTTGGAGCAAGCGTCCTTGGGAGGGCTGCTGCACTGCTGGTTAGGTGCTCCCAGCCCTAAGGAACAGTGCATGGGGCCTGGCCTGAGGGGTGAGGGAGGCAGGGGCTGCGGTGGGGAGTGGGGAAGCTCTTTCCACACCATTAGAGCAGAACTTAGGGGAGTCTGAGAATTCGAAGTCCCAGCGTGGCCTTTCAGGTGGTTGTGAAGGTACATTTGTCATGGAAGGAGATAAATTTTATTTAATGGCTAGTTGATATATGTTAGTTGATAGAAATGTTTCAAATATTTTTAGATATAAGGTGTGTGGATTCATAACTGAACCTTTACCTGAACCCTGCAAATACTACAAATATTTATAACCTGGCCCTCTCTAACACCTGATATATCATTCCTTCCACTTGCTCATGCTGTGTGAATGCTTTGTTACTGGGGTACAGTGGGGTCCCTTCTGCTTGATAATGGCTTGTTACAATAGCTCTTCTTGCTATAGGACTCAGACCAAGTCCCTGGACCAGGCTGCAGTATAACCGCCATTATCTTGCCCCCTCACCCCTAGTTACATCCCCTCTCCCACCTGTCTCTTTGCTCCCCAGGTGTTTCCACACATGAAAACCTCTCCGATACCATTTCTCCCCATACAAACACCCACCTGGTGCCATGGCTTGGTCAGACACCCCTGTGTGGAGGCCCTTTCTGCCTCCCACAACCTCCTAAGATCACTTTGCTTCTCTGAAAACCCTCGGGTCTGAGTTATCAACACCCTATTGATTCCCCCCATGTGACAGACCGAGATGGACTACAGAACAGGCTTTATTGGATTTATTTGCTTTGCATATTACAAAAATCAAGAACGCTAGAAGCAGCAGAGAACTTGTCGGAATGTTCCTCCAAGCATTAAAAGTACTTAATAAGAAAACTTTCTAAATAAAGAGGTTAACTGGGAAAAGAAACTGTTAATGGGGAGTTCTCAGCACAACCTAAGAGTGGCGAACCTGAAAATAGGGGGAGAATTGTAACAACTAAGGTAGCATGATTACCTGGGAGAAGGGCCTCGACCTTAATGTACTGTTCACTAGGGGGTTACAAATCTAATCCAGCCAATCAAAAAGCCAGCATTATCAAAAAAGGCAAAGATGCAGTAGCAGGAAAAACAGATGTCTTACAGAGAAAATGCAAAATCCAGCATATTATTAGCCAATGTTCCATGATACCATCAGCAGCAAAACTAAGCGCCAAGGGTTTGAATTAGCTCTGGCACCCCACTGCTTCTCTAGATTTTTCTTCTTTTGCACGACGCAGCAGCCCACTCAGAATTTAAAGGCACAGTTAGGTGTCCAGGCCTGTTTTCTCTTGAAGCAAAGTAGCCCCGAGGTGACCGACAAACAGTGAAAAGTATTCTAAGAAGACACTTCTGAGTCTACTAAGAAAATAAGCTAGGTGCTGTCTAGGCATCCGAAAGTTCTCACGTAGTGTTTGGTCGATTGAGCATGGACTAAAGGGGAGGACGTGGAGAAGAAGATTTACTAACTTCTGGAGAAGCTGGAGGAAAATCTTAGGGCGGCGCGTGCCTCGGAGACCAGCCGAAGAGCCACCGGCTCTGGCAGAAAGGTGCCTGCATCCTCACTCCTGGCCGTTCTGAAGGAAGGGGAAGCCGCTAAAGGAAAAGCCTGTGGTGGGAGGGGAAGGGAGCGGTGGGACTGCCGGGCTGCGTGCCCCGCCCCTCACAGCAGCCCCTGCCTCTCATCCCGACTCCTCTCTTGCTCCCCCCTTTTGGCCCTCCCTCTTTTCCCCCCCGCTGCGGGGAGAGTGAGTGGATCACTGGGGAGGAGGAACGGTCCAGTCTCGTAACTCCTGAGGTCAGAGCCACTAGGAATGAGGGCAGAGAGGGGCTGATGTATCACTTAAGGCTTTCTGTGAGCAGAAAGTTCATTCTATGGCTTCAGGCCTGCAGACTCACTTTGGGCTGAAACCTCGTGAAGGAGAGGCTGCTGAGAGGCAAGAACTAGAAGCTTGGCTACATGGGGGTCTCCACCTTAAGGGTGCAGCCAAGGGGTAAGAGAGCTCTCCAGTGGCCCCAGACTTCCATCATGGCGGTGAGTTTTCAGTCACCATGATGAAAATACAGCTTTTGGCATCTTTAGAATTTTGAATTTCCACAGGGTCTTAAAGTACTTTTTCAAAAAGGGTATGCTATGAGATCCAAAGCGTTTCTGCAGAAGTAAAGACGGTCACAGTGGCATTGGTGTAGGAGGTCAAATAGTGATAGGCTAACCATCCAGAGGAGAAGAGTAATCCCCCAGAAACATTCTGTTGGGTAGGGAGGGGCGCACTTCCGTCAGACCAGTGACAGGATGAGATGCGCATGCGCATGCGCAGAGAGAGCCGCTCTACAAGCTGCAGGTAGTGGGGGCCTCCAGGGTACAAGGAAGCTGTTTCAGAGGGGCAGTAGGATGACTGGGGAGCCACTGACTACGTAAAATTTTCTTGGAGATTCCAGAATTTTCACTTCTACCACCTCTCCTGGGCGGCTTTGCAAAGCTTGGAGCAGCAACCAAAGAACTGAAGCATTTAACTAGGCCCATAAAACCTGAAAGCCAATCCTTGGGCCAAATCATCTGGACGTTACCTCTAAAATTTTTCTTTGATCAAAGGAAATGACCACCTCTGGGCTGCTCCAACGAAGTGTGTTTGTTTTCTCCCTTCTTGAAGCACATTGTCTAAAGTGACTTCCTAATTCTACAGTGGTGCTAACATTTTACATAGTTTATATAGAGGAAATGCTGGGTTTTCAGATGCTGGCAGTGACTATACATCTGAAGGTTAGGCATTTGTGGCATTTGCTTCATTCAAATAATTAACTTTAACTCTCATTTCTAATGCTCTTGCTTAATAAAAAGCAGTTACAGTAAATAAGTCACTACATGGCATTAATACACCTGTTGGCAATTACCATTTGAAATGCTCATGCTCCCCTCCCCCCACAGGAACTGTTTACTGCATGGTTTCTGCTCTTTGGCTCCATGCTTTGGATTTCTTCTTGGCCATGGAGAACCAGACTGGCTCAACTTGCTTTTGGGGCAGGGCTGGAAAAGTTGAAGACTGCCCAGTTCCTTTACCCACAGCAGGCCCCTGAAATGCCATCTCATCTTCACATCCTGCTGGAACTACAACAAATCACACACAAGCATCAGGAAGCCCTAGAAATACAAAGGTATGTTTACGGGGTGCAATACAATTTTTGCCTCCTTTCAGGTTTCCTCTGCTTTCTAAAAGTCAGTGCATGGGCAATGGCATGGCTGGTATGTCAAGGTAAAGCAATCATCACTGTGACCATAAGGGCTGAACTCGGGAAAGCCTGTGAGAAAATACCTATGCGTAACTGCCAATCTTTGGATGGTTATTGGATTGTCTCACACTTTTGAATTGAAAGCGGAGAGGAAATATATTGCATGTTCAGGTTTTAAAATTTCAAATATGATCATATTTTTTTCTTTTGCCAATCCATGATAGTCATGTGAAATGACTCATTTCTCAACAGAGCCACCCAATAAAAGTCCACACTAAATATTGTATCGACTACTCCCTGACCAAGCAGACGGCCTTCCTATTTCCAATTCTAGCCTTCCCCTCATCTTGCTTTACGGTTGACTGGCTCAGTGGCTTAGACTCAACAGGTGGTTCTCAATTTTGGCTACAAATTAGAATCACCCAGTTACCTTGAAAAGATCAGTATCACTGCCTGTGCCATTTCCTGAATCAAATGAATCAGAATCTCTATCAATGAAACCAGAGCCAACCGTAATTTGTGAAAAGCCCCCAAGTGATTCGAATGCACAGTGAAAGTTGAGAACCACTTGACAGTACAGTGCCCAGGAGGCCCCTACTAGCTATGAGCAAGGTCAGCTGTTGCGATTTCGTGGTTCCTAGATTTCTAATTCTTCCTGAGGAGGACTAAGGGAGCAAACAAAGGAGGACTCAGTATAAATCCATCCTCCCTTCCCCTGGCTCCTTTTGCAAAGCAAATCCCTCCAGCATACAACTGCAAATAAGACCAAATTCTGTTTTACCCTATCCCAGCACAGTGTTTTTTCAGCGTACAGCATTTTTCCCACCTCTTATACTGCAGAGGGCTGAAACAAGCCGTCTTAATAGCTACAAACAATTCAATACTATTGGGTACTTGTAGTGGATTATACCAACAGTTTCACTGACAAGTAAGAGGTGAGAAAATACTACTTTGCTATGAACTGGAAAGCATATGGGTTCTTTGCTCTTGCACACCAGTCTCAGGAACGTCTCAATAAGAGTGATCACAACTTTGCGCCTATACAGCTTTCCCAATGGGGCAAAAAACTGCAAACCCCTCTGAAAGTTTCTCAGTGGACCTATATTAGTCATAATAATTGAATTTCCCTAAAACAAACTATTATCTGTCTCTAACAGAAGAGCCATGAGAGAATCAGGAAGTTGATTTGTGGAGGAGTTTGGAGGGGGAGAGATATATTGTTTAAGCTGAAATTGCAAGTTTTATAACATTCTGCCAGGGCTATATGGGGGGAAGGGGTTAGTGTGTGTGTTTTTACCTGCTTTGGTAGACACATGTGTGTTTTCACCTGCTTTGGTAGGCACAGGTGTGTGTTCACCTGCTTTGGTAGGCACAGGTGTGTTTTTGCCTGCTTTGGCAGGCACAGGTGTGTTTTCATCTGCTTTGGTAGACACAGGTGGCTTCATCAAGGCCATCTTCTCCTGTTGATTCATATTGGAAGTGAAAATCATTTTTGATTGGGTATATGCAAGGCCAGCTCCCTTTAATACAAAAATGAAAACAGATGGCTTATGAGTCCTGACATGAAAACATCAAATTACATCTTCAGAAGACCACAAGGTGTAAACCTTGTCCTGGATATTATGAGTTCAACATTGATCAAAGTATTGAAAAAGAGTGAGAAATAGTGCTGACAGCCCCTTGATTCAGGATTTAGCTTCACAAAACCTACGCTGGTTTAACTTTATCACCTTTGATATCTGGAAGAAAAGATTTTCTAATCACACAAATAGTGTAAGCAGGTTAACATGTGAATTATTTAACTTGGGAATAATCTTAGACATATTTCTTCATAGGTATGTTTGACATGTTTTACTGAGTCAGTTTTCTGCAGTTTAGACAGGAGGGATTTTGACATTTCCAAAGATACTGCCAATGGGACACTGGAAGTAAGACATCATCCCATCTACCCTGATCTACATGTGCTACCAGTAGTCTAGCTCATCATCTAACTTTTTCCTTTAACCTATAGGGAGGTCCCATACCAAACCAAATGAATACATAAAAAGGCACCCAGAAATAAAATGTCGAATGAAAAATAGTATGTACTATTTGATTCCATTTACAGTTTTTTAAATATATACACACCTATATGCATAATTGGAAGGATCATTATCACCCCCAGGGTTAGATTTGAGGTGAGTTTTTTTATGACTTAATCCTAAGCCACTTCATGGAATCCTGTTCTAGAATATTTAGGACAGGATTTGATTTATAGGATCTTCTCGTATTCTTTACTTTTCACAAATCTTTAGCTCTTAAAGAGCACACTGGGTAAGTACAAAGCACGTCTTTCCTGGGAAAAGACCCCCCCACCCCAGCCGCCTTGATGAATGCACCCAGAGAGGTAGGGAGCCCATGACTAGCACAGTCCCCCAGGCACATTGAATCATTGGTTCCAGCAACCAATTGGAATGTTATCTGGGGTGACTGAGTCCTACCTCACATCTGTGTTCCTTAGTCTCAGCACTGGCTCCAGATCTGCTTTTGAGTTTTGACTCACTCATAGGAATGTGAGCCAGGAAACTCTTCTGCTTCACCATGGCTATCCAACTTGGCTCTGAGGAGGCATAATCTGACGTTCTGTCAGACCTTCCTGTGAAAGGAATGAAAGGCATTAGCACTGAAGTGAGGCAGGTAGAATAGTCTTGAGCTTGGTACGGCCTATCCACATCAACCTCCCCAAAGGGATCCTTGTTAATTATCAAAAGGAATCATCTAAAGAAGAGGCCCCTTCTTTGTGCTGCCACATGCCCCTGCAAGGCTGGCGTTCCTTAGGTAGATAAGTTGTGCTTGAAAGTTTGCATGCTGTCCTCTTATTGGTCCCTTTCTCTCCTTTGTCCATCCTCTGCTTATCCCCAAATCAAGGCAGGACCATGGTTGCCAGGTGGGCTGGGAAAATCCTAGAAGGCTAGAGGTTCAGGCCATTTCTATCATTCCTTTACCTCAAGGAAAATCTTATATTTGTTACTTCAAGGAAAATCTTATGGCACTTGTTCCTTCACAGTCTCTCAAGCAGGTGTGAGGTTCCATTATTGTGGTTCTAAGGCCAATAGAAGACTACATGTTGCTGTGTGTGAAGGCACAAAGGCTTTGAGAGAGATTAACACTGAAAAGATCACATAGCACTGGATTCTTAGATATTTCAGGTGAAGAGTGAAGGAACAGTAGAATTACAAACATTGGCAGTAAGTTAAGGTTTCAAGCTGAGACTCTGAACCAGTGCCCTATCAATGAGTTAGTTGGCTTTCAAAATCCACATGGTGTTGGGGGAAGCATAATACATATAAAAGTCTTTTGAGAAAAGCAAAAACCTATATCCAAATACAGGGTGTACGGAGGGTGGGGAAGAGGGACAAGGAGGTCTTATGTCCATCACCAATGTGGACAGTTTTCTAAGAGGACCCCTTTGGGAAATAAAAGGTTCAAAATTAACCAACTCCAAATCCATTCATCTAGAAGAAGGCGCTATACTAGCCCTAAGTCCATAAGCCAGCCCTAGCTCCCTCCCAGTCAGGACTTGGATTTCCAATTCTTCCCTCTACTTGGTGCCTCCTCACCTGGGATCTTGTAAACAGATTGTTTGTGGGTCATTATTTCAGAAATGGGCCTTCTCTGTTGCTTCTCCACAAATTCGGGTGTTGTGGTGAGGTTCTCTGTAATGCCCAGGTGCCCCTGGGAGGCGCTTCTTCTGATTTGTTGTTCTCTACCTATGGATGATAAAATTGGGTCCAAGGAGACTGAAGAAAATTTGGTAAAGTCACCTTGTTTCTCACTCTTGTATTTCTGCAAGGAAGGAGCTTTTTTCAGTCGGACTCCAAATAGGTTTTCAACATCAGTCCCAAGGGGGGGTAACTTTGGATGGTTATTACTTGGATCCTCACTCTCAAGAAATTCCTCCTTAGAGTAAGTACCCCCTGAAATAAATGACTGCAAGTCAGGGGCACTGGTGAATTTCTCAAGCCTGGTGACAGGAATTGGCATGTCCTTAGTGAGGTCTTCAGAGCTGTGTTTCTTGGCTTTGTTTGGAGATACTGGACCTTTTGGTAGAGTGGAGCTGCCAGAATTGCTCTCTAAAATGGTTCCCTCAGGAATTGCACTCATGGAACTTGAATGAATTGGTTTCTGATAGCTGGGGGTTGCAAAAGGCTGTAAAGGGCTACATTCTACAGATGATTTTGCCAAGCCTGTTGAGAAAATCCGTGACTGTAATTCAGTCCCTTCCTCAGCTTGGAAAGGTTGTCTGGAAGGCAGCTGCTCTTCGGAACTGCTCTGCTTCACAGGGGCACTCCCTGAATATGAGAAAACTTGGCATGGGTCTTCAGGCTTCCTGAAGGACTGTGAAGGATGTTGTGTAGGAAGTTGCTTCAGAGAAATGCCTTCCTTCATGGCAGCACTCTCACAACCTGCGAAAACTTGGGGCTCGACTTTAGGCCTCCACACAGATTTGGAAGGCTGATTTGAAGCTAATGGATCCACATAAATTCCCCCCTCAATAGCATGGCTCTCTGAAAAGAGTTGTTGTGCCATAAACTTTACAAACGACTGGGGAGGAGGCCTGGGCGTCAGCAATTGCTTAGAGATGCCTCCAGCAGCAATGTTCTCCAGATGTGATATTTGCTGAATTTTGGGCTTCATGGTGATCTGGGTGGGATACTTTGAGGTCACTGAGGCTCTAGAAACGCCCTCAGTGGCAGCACTCTGAAAACTGGATGATGCCTGATAGACTTTATGTCTCATACTGAACCAGGAATGTTTGGGAGGCAGCGGTTCTGCAGCCACAGCCCTCTCAACAGTAACACTCTGCAGACCTGAAGAGGTTGGTTGTTTCACTGCTGGTTTCATCAGAGACTGAGAAGGCATTCTAGAACTCAGTTGCTCCACAGAAACACTCCTCTCAGTTCCAGTGCTCTCTGCACCTGCAGAGACTTGTTGCTCAAACTTGGGGCTCATCCAGGGCTGGGAAGTACCCCTCGGAGGCATTGGCTTCTCAGTAGTGCCCCATTCTGAAGAAGCACTCATTGAACCTGAGGAGACTTCTTGCTCAGCTACTGGTCTCATTAGGCGCTGACAAGGCGTTCTGGGAGGCAGTGGTTCCACAGAAATGCCCCACTCCATAGCAGCACTCTCTGCACAGCCCTGCGAGTCAAATTTAGGGCTCTCCCATGGTTGGAAAATGTGTCTTGGAGGTGTTGGCTCCACAGGACTGCACCATTCTGCAGAAGCACTCACAGGATTGGGGGTCCTGATATGTGGCGGGAAGGTAGGCTTCACCAAGGGCTGGAGAGGGCCTGTGAGAGGTGGTAGCCCCACAAACGATCTTCCACCAATGGCAGTATTCTCTGAGAAGACATGCTGGGCTTGAGGAGTTTCCAAGGACTGGGGAGAATACTGGGGGAGGAGGGACTCTGCCATAATGACCCTGTCAGCAGCAACACCCTCTGAACCTGAGAACACATTTTGTCCTACTGGGTTCATCAAGGACTGGGCCAGAACTTTAAGAGGCAGAGGCTCCATAGACATGCTCCCTTCAATAGCTGTGCTCTCTGGCAATGAAGATTTTTGCCCAAATTTGGGGTTCACCCCTGGTTGGAAAGGGTGTCTGGGAGGCAGTGGCTCCATAGAAATGTTCTCCCCAGCAGCAGAGCACTCTGGACCTACAGAGACTTGTTGCTGGGCTAGAGACTTCATCAGGGTCTGAGAAGGCTGTCTGGGAAGTGACTGCTCCATAGAAATCCTCTCCTCAACCACAGCATGGTCTGCCTCCAGGACTTGTCCAACTACTGGTCTCACCAAGGGCTGGGAAGGACCTCTCAGGAGCAGCATCTCCATAGAAATGCTACCCCCAACAGCTGTGCTCTCTGGACCTGCAGAGATCTTTTGCTCGGCTTTTGGCTTCATTGGAGGCTGAGAAGAATGTTTTGGAGACAGCAGCTCTACAGAAGTGATCCTTTCAGGTATAGGAACTTCTGGACCTTTTGAATCTGAGGAGACTCCGTGACCCATTTTAGGCCTCGTCAGGTGCTTGGAAAGGATTCTGGGAGGCAGTGGCTCTATACAAATGCCCCAGTCACCAGCAACTCTCTCTGGATCTGCAGAGGCTTCCTTCTCAACTTTGGGTCTGAGCCAGGGCTGGAAAAGCTGTTTGGGAGGCCGCACTGGAACATTCCATTTTGTAGACGCACTCACTGCACCTGAGGAGACATGTTGCTGTGCATTCTGTCTCACAAAGGGCTCAGAAGGGTGTCTGGGAGGAAGTGTCTTCATGGGAACACTGTATTTCTCAGGTATGTCCTTTAAAACTGAGGAGACTACTTGTTGGTGTTTGGGGTTCCCCAAGGTGTGAGAAGGGGGACTGAGAAGCAGATCTCTCTCTGAGCTGCTCCAGTCCCCAGAACGGTTGTACCTTTCAACACAACTATTTGATTTTGTGAGGGCTTTGTTTTCAGACTTCCCCAAAGCCTGCTTATCAGAACTGCTTGACTGCGCCACAAAGCTCTCTGATTCTGTGACGGCTTCTTGGTTATCTTTGGGCTTCCCCAAGGCCAGCTGCTGGTCAAAATCAATCCCCGCTGAATCACTCTCAGAATTGATGATGCTGTCAGCTTGGTGGGTACCCGAGGACTGGGAAGAATGTTTAGGAGCCAGCTGCTGCTTGGGATTACTTGCTTTCACAGCTAAACTTTCTGATCCTATGGAAACTTCATGTTCATTGTCAGGCATCTCCAAAGACTCTAAAGAGCATTCGGAAGTGAGTGATTGGTCAGAATCATCTTCAGTCCCAGAAGTACTATCTGAGTCTAAGTCTGAGTCTGAGCCTGAGCCTGACTCTGAGTCTGAGTCTGTGTCTGAGTCTGAGACTTCAGCTTTGACGCTCTCCAAGCACTGGGAAAGCCTTCTGAGAGGCAGCATCGCAGCAGCAATGCCTCCCTTAGCTGCGGCACTGACGGCACCTGAAACGCTTGTAAAGGCCTGGAGAACATTTCCAGGTGGCTTTTCTTTGCAGGTAGTTGGGATATCTTCAACTGACTCCATTTCAAATTGGGCATTTTGTGAATCAAAGTTGGAATTGTCTTGCTCTTCTGTCTGGAAATGAGAAGGATCCATAAACACCTGAGCCTCCACTGCCCTTGAGAAAACATCTTCCTGGGTGGTAGACAGGCTTTCCACTACTGGTAAATAAGAAACCCTGCCTACTGTTTTCTTGGTTCTAGAAGCCTCATCTTCATGGTTCAGTCGTGGACCACTAACCAGGGACCCTGCCATGTCTTCCGATATGGGTTGTGATGCTGATGCTTTTCTGGCTTCAGTATCTGTACCAGCATTTCTCATTCCCGTGTCATCTGGGTCTGAGGGCAATGCCTGAGGAGTGGCAGTTTCTGCTTGTGAAACTGTGGGTTGCTCCACGCTCAGCTTCTCTAAGGATTGGGGCCAGAGAGGGAGATCGCTGGCAGCTATAATAGCAGGTAGAGAGCCAGCTCTATCACCTAGGCCCAGCCTTCGATTGGGTAGCTTAACGTTTCTTCCTGTGGATCCATTCTCACTGGTTTCTGAGCCTTTTCTCCCATATTTTCTTTCAAATGGGGCTGACAAGGGGTAGCCCAGACTCCCAGCAGCATCTATGTTTGCAGCCTGCTCTGTTGTCTTCTTATCCCAAATCTCGGTTCTGTTGCTCTGTTCCTGGTTTGAAGAACCTGTACCAAACAGAAACAAGGGATGTGTGCTTTCACTTCCTAAAACAGGGATACTCTGCCCTAACCCAGTGAGTGGGTACCTATTTGCTATTGAATTCCCCAGTATGAAGAAGCTGTTCAGGAGAGAGAGAGCAACTGGAAATGTTTAAATTAAAGGGAAATCTCAGTTTTATGAAGTGATTCAAAGGTGGCCTCATCACCATCTTAGCAGTAGTTGGGTCCATCATTAGGTTCCATGAGACACATAAAAAGGCACATGTGGAAATTTTAACAATGATTACCGACATTCTAGGAAACTGACTGGGCTAAGGTAAAGGGAAATTTTACTTTCTAATTCGTATTTTATATTCTACTTAATTTGACTTAGTTTTCATATCGCGTGCAGGTATTGCTTTATTGTTTAGAAAGGTGTCAACAGGGATTATCTGGGAGGTAGGATTACGGGTCCCCTCTTCTTCAGGTATGTACTCTCTTGTAGGAAAACAATTTGATACTAATACACGTGCAAAGCAATTCTTGGAGAGCCTTATCTGCATCTGCCCACAGGCTTCAGGTCAAGCACAAGGCAGCCGGCATACAGCATGTTCCTGTCCTCTCTACTCTTACCAAGGAACTCAGATCCCTCCCTGCCTGCCTTCCCTCATTACCCACTGCACCCCTAGCTCTGTCTCGTGGTTTCATATGGACTGCTGGCTACACTCCAAGCCACTTGCATTATAAGGAAAACCAATCAAAGTACTTGAGCAGTTGTTCCATGGACCCTGAATCAATTTTATCCTCTGAGACACTATTAAGAGACACTGTTAAAAATAAGTGTAGGGCCTCCCCTGGTGGCGCAGGTGGTTGACCGCCACACTGTGAAGCTGTACGCAGCCTCGGCAGCGCCAGTTCAATTCCCGGCCAGCCAGTGAGGGTCCCACATGGCGCAGCAGACCTCTCCTGTCTCGCCCGCTGTTCCCCTCAGCAGTGTATTTTGGTCCATCTGCCTGTTCTGCTCCCCACTCTGTCTCTGGTGAATCCTCTCACCCTCCCACGCATCTGGCCTGTACCCCAGCTCTTGTGTAAATGAATAAATATATCTTTAAAAAAATAAATGTAAAAAATTAAAAAGGAAGCAGGAAAGGATAGCTCATTGAACCTTTCTTTTCTTTCCAGATCACTTTTGTTAATTTTCATGGGAAAATGTGTTTAGGGATATCCTCTCTTTGAACCCACAAGTGAAATCCTTTGTGGCAAAACTATGAAATAACCACTAAACTGAATTTGGGCAACTGGAATTTTGTCAAGCATTATTTGAAATTAAATTGCCATCAGATGCAGCTAGCAACCACATACCCTTGCCCCCCACCCCCCAACACACACACACAGATTTTCATTCCTGTGCTGTTTGTTGTTTGTGGAATTGATGGGGGTTGGCTGTCAAAGACATCTTTCTGCAGTTGCCCAAGCATCTTTGTGCATGGATATGGGAATTGGTCTTACAACTAACGCAATAACTTCTCTCCACTGGAAAAGTTAAGCAACTTTTTAAAAAACTAGTTTCAACAACTGGTAAAACCCACCAAAAAATAACTCTTAGGACTCTGCGAAAACCACAGTGGTTACCAGACGGGCTGGCAGGGGGAGGGGGGGTGGAGGTTGTGCAGAGGGAAAAGGCATCGGCACTGGAGCTCAGGTGGAAGGCATGGAAAGCACGTGCACATATGGAGAGGTGAAGCTGTGCTCCCCAAATCATACAGTTGTGTAAGCTACTGGCAAATCAATATAATTTGAGAAAAGAAAAAACTAGCTGGGGGCCAATTTTGTTATTACCCTCCAATGCTGCTGCTGGGGGGGAGGGCATCACTGGCAGTCCTCGGACAGCGGAGCTCATAGAGCAACTCAGCATATACATCAGTGTCAGAAAGGCTGCCACAAATCCACACGAAACACCTCTCTGGCTGAGACTTCACTGAAATAATGTAAGGATCTAGATACAACCTACACGTGGGCGGTTGTATCAATTAGGCAGTTTAGATGGAGAAACCAGGTCCACAGTAAAATGTATCTTCAACTGAAACGTGTGTGAGGGTCAAGGACAGCAGGCCAGGGTCATTCTCACTGCAGAGCTCCTGTCACAGAGCACGTAATACACATGCAGTCAAACTCAGGGTGAGGGTGGAGGTGAAGAGGTGCCAACCTGCACTGTCTTTATTCAGCTTCTGTGCCTCAGGTTCTTTTACGGTTGTGCTCTTCTCTTCAGAAACCAGAAGACTTGGGTCCTCCTGCTTTGTTTTTACCTAAAAGAGGGAAAGAAAGAAAAATTAGACTGAAGCGCTCTCTACCCACCCCTGCAGGGTGGCCAAAGGGGAAAGAAAAGGTCAGGACAAAAGTCCATGATATGCTCACAGGCCTGCTGGGAGCGTGACAATAGCACTAAAGGTGGAAGCTGTTTCCTACGGCTTCGTCACTGGTGATCGCTGCAACTACTAGGCATGGCTCACCCACATGTGGAGTTTCTGATCTTTGAGGAATACACTGCAGGGACCTCTTGAAAAAACCCAGAAACCACTGACATGTACTAGAGGCTGTAAAGCTGAGAAAAGGATTGCTGGGCCTGCCCACAGCCACGCACACTGAAGTGCCAGGCCGGCTTCACCTGGGAGCCAAACCCAAATCCTGTTTGGCTTCTTTTCAGGGAATTTTGGAAAGTATGAGTTATGTTCTTCCAGCTCAAGAGAAGAGCACTGGATTTTGTTGGGAGAAAAGAGAAATGATGAAGGGCATGGCCCTCATACCGAAGGGGTGGAAATTGGTTTAGCAGAAACAAGGTTTTAAGATAATTACAATGCAGCTGGGGGGCCGCCAGAGCAGAACAACAACATCCAAAACGCACCGTGCACAAGCCTCTGTGACAGGCACGGAAAGGCAAACACACACACTATGCTCCCAAAGTGTCTGTGCAGACTGACTCGGCGCAAAATGACTTACTTCTGAGTGAGAAAGGGTAGATAGACTTGGTTCAAATCTCCATCCTTTATTTCCTGTGTGACCTGGGGTAAGTTATGTCTAAACCTCCACGTCCACATCTATGAACTGCAGATGCAGGGAAACCACCTGTGGGATTCCAAAGCTGGTGGCCTGTGTCATAAGCGACCCTGGACCCTTCTCTATTCACCCATGTGTCAGAGAAAGAGTCAGGAGGAAGAAGCAGAGGTCTCAGCCTTCTTAAGAGTGTTGCCCAAGCCTTTTCTCACTTAGGCTGTACAGAAGGAAGAATGTCAGAGGGTGACACGAAGCTCCCCTAAGCCAATACTTCTCAGGACCATGGTGAGGTGTCCAGGCACACACACTAAGCTTTGGTTCACAGTAACCGGTCATCATCTGCTCAATGCTCAACATTGGAGCAAGAAGATCATCTCGTAGCCACCGCAATGCCCCTTTGGGGCAGATATCCTGCCAACTATACCTTCAACTTGGACTTTATTCTCTTTCTAAAGCTAAGCTGAAATGATTAAGCCAGGGGCAACATGGTGGCGTGCAGCGTACTAGACTGGAAGTGCCAAGACTGGGTTCTAGCCCGAGCTCTGCCACTACCTGGGTGTTTGACTTTGGGTAACTATTGGTGTGTTAATGTGCTTCCCTGTAAAATGCTTGTGCTACAAAACTTTAGTCTCTTCCAGGTCTTATTTACAGCCCTCTATTTATAGCCTCAAGTCACAGAAGAATTGGGTGTTTGATCAAAGTGAATCTTCCAGCTCACTGACACATACTTTGTAACACTGACTTATTTTAATTCTTAGCTTTTACTAAAAACCTTCCAAAGTCATTCCTGCCCTGTCCTCCTAAACAGAAAGCAGGGAACACAATTCAACTTCTTTTGATTGCTTGGGCAGATTAAATAAACATCATCTACTACATTGGACTGTGATATATAGCGTGGCCCTGGGGGACGTAGTGAGATGGGCAAGTATTTTGACCCTCTATACTTTCTGTCATCTTTCTGTCATTTCTCTCTGCTATCAACTGTCACTTCCCTTTGCTATCAGATCAGAGTCTCATCTGTGGCCACGTTTTTAACAGAATCAGGTCACCTAAGTATAGCTCTACCTGCTAGAAAGTCAAGAATCAAGACTTGTGACATTTATGTGACACCAAGAGAACTCTTTGCACAGCTGTTAATAGCTGAGTTCTGAATGCTTGGAGTTGCTGGAAGTCCAAAGGAATGGACCAGTGCTCCTTTTATAACTCATGGGTCTCATCTGAATAATAAGTAAAGGAATCCTGATTGGCGCCATGACTGAATATCCTCTACAAAGAAGATGGAGTGATTTCCCAGATGTTCCCAGATGCTAAGTCAATAAGCAGTGTCTGGGGGCTTAAGTCACTGTTTCTGTTTTCTTTGGTCCTTTTATGTAACTTCCACATGGACCAGATATCCTAGTTGCAAGTTTGCTCACTGCTCTGGGAGTGTCCAGTATGAGACACTGCCCTGACTTTACCACCCCTCTTTAGGCTATGGGTCTGCAAACCAAATTGCTTCCCAGGACAGTTTGCAAAAGTTGGAACTGGTCTTTTGTTATTCCCAGGTCTCTCAAAGGACTTACAGTTGCTTGCAGTTTCTTTTGTCTCCTGGAGTTTGAAGTCATCGTGGGTTGAGGAGTTGAAGTATTCAAACAGCCCTGGGTGTTAGCTGCAGTGCTAAAACCAACAGATGGCAGGGGACTGCTGGGAGAGTCAGGCTCAGCAATAGTGTCCATGGAGAGTGGTCTGGATGTTTGCTCAGAGGAGCTCTGGAGAGAGGGAGAGAAAAGAAACAGGTCAGCCCACATGCGGCTACTACTCTCAAAAGTCAGAAATTCCTCTGGCTAGAGATTGTTAAAGAAGAACTCTTCCTACTGGCCCTTTTTCTTTGTAGCAACATCGAAACTTCTGGTCAAGAAGTTCATCAGGGCCTCCCCGGTGGCGCAGCGGTTGAGCGCTGGGTTGCGAGGCTGCCCGCAGCCTCTGCAGCGCCGGTTCGATCCCCGGCTGCTCCCCGGCTACTGGAGGAGGGTCCCGCATGGCGCGCAGACCTCTCCTGCCGCCCGCTGCTCCCCTCAGCAGTGTACTTCGGTCCTTCTGCCTGCTCTGCTCCCTGCTCTGGTGAATTCTCTCACCCTCCCGCGCTTCTGACTGTACCCAGTGCTTGTATAAATAAATAAATAAATCTTTATAAATAAATAAATAAATAAATAAATGATTCATGCATTGGGCAGCTCCAACAAGCTACACAAAATGAAACATATTTAAAAAAAAAAAAAAAAGAAGTTCATCAGAGGCAAGGTGCACACTTTCTGCAGGTTCCATTGCAGGAAACAGGAAGTTCAGGTGGCCCCCTGCTTAGAAAGCATTCAGAGCCTCCCTTTTGGCCTCAAGATAGGAACCCAACCACTTAATGGAGTTTACAAGTCAGAGGGTTTGCCTGCTCTCTTGTCCCAAATTCCCCTTTTATAAATACGAGGGGCTGACTGGGTGAGAGGCACAATCCCTGTCAGTAGAACCCTCCAGGGGCTCTGTGATTTCTCCAAAGCAGTGCTGAGTGGCAGGGGAAGAATCAGGCTGGATGAGGGCCTGTGTGTAAGCTACGTCTGTGGACAGTACAAGGCCTTTACTTGTATTTACTGTCCGTGGTGCCAGGCTGGTGAAGCTGCGTGCTCCCACCCCCAGCAGGGTGAATTCTGGGACTTTGTTCTCCATGTGGCTGCCCTGCACCTCTGCAAACTATCTGGTCTTAGGGATCCTGGTTGGCTTTCCCTATGGGAATCAGAAATAGTCTCCTCTGGGCTTGCTGACACAGCATTTCCACACCTCAGACGCTGCAGAGCACCTTTTATTTCTAAGAAGCTTCGGATGTTAGCAGAAGCCCCTTCAGAGGCCAGGTGATGACTCGCTCTCTCCAGGATACCAGTGGGAAATGATGTCATTCAGCAGGTGGACAGAATTCCCCTTTGAGATCACTCACTAGTTCAGTCTAAACTGGCTTTCCACCGTGCTGGGGACGCCCTTTGGTTTTTACAGTTTTTATACCCCTTCAGTGGTGCGTGCTGATCAGGTGACAACCCAGCTATGACCTTCACTCCAAATAGGGTTCTTTTTTTTTTTTTTAAATTGTTTATTTATTTATACAAGCACTGGGTACAGTCAGAAGCGCGGGAGGGTGAGAGAATTCACCAGAGCCAGAGCGGGGAGCAGAGCAGGCAGAAGGACCGAAGTACACTGCAGAGGGGAGCAGCGGGCGGCAGGAGAGGTCTGCGCGCCATGCGGGACCCTCCTCCGGTGGCCGGGGAGCAGCCGGGGATCGAACCGGAGCTGCAGAGGCTGCGGCCAGCTTCGCAACCCAGTGCTCAACCGCTGCGCCACGGGGGAGGCCCAAATAGGGTTCTTTTATGCCTGAGGGACTAGTGCTAATGGGTCAGGCTGAAGATCCATCTAGCGCACATTCTGCTTTTGATTCCAGGACACAGGGAGGACTACCACCACACAAAATTAGGAGTTGTCCCAAAAACCTTTCTTTAAAATGTTTTTTTTTTTTTTTTTTAGCCAGATAACAAAGGTTTACAACATTGCATATGAGTTACAGGTGTAGGATCACCCCCTTCAGGTGTTGTTACCATACCACACCCTCTCACGCTGTTGGTGGGGATGTGGGCTGGTGCAGCCCCTGCGGAAAACAGTATGGAGGTTTTCTCAAAAGATTAAAAGTAGAGCTACCCGATGACCCAGCAATCCGTCTCCTAGGTACCTACTACCCAAAGAACATATGCACTCCTCTCTAACTTCTCTATGCAACTGTCATCCACGAGTTTATAGCACACCTCTTTCTGATATTGAAAATTTGACTTGTATTAGCTCTTATAATTGTGAATTTAATACTCATTGTACAGAAATGTGCCTTGTTTTATTATTCTTAAGTTCTTTCACACTTCTGGGTAGTCTTTACCAGATGACGACATCTATTCTCCCACTAACCTCACAAGACCTGTCTTTTCACTGCCTCTCCAACCACATTCCCTACCTGTCTCCACTTCAGACACACTGCCGGGGTGCGCTGTTGCCCCAATCTCCCACGTGTGCCCCTCTGTCAGGGTATTTGCACTTGCCTCCCTCTTCTGGGCATGTGCTTCCCTGTGTCCCTGTGGCTAACTTCTTCACTTCCGTTCAGGTTTTGACACAAAAGCCACCTTCTCAGCGAGGCTTTTCCCGGCCAACCCAGCCTATGATTTAGCACTCTGCCCTGACACTTCACAATCCTCTTCCCGGCACTGTTCGTTTTTCTCCTTGGGACTTTGATCACGATCTGAAATATTGTATATTGTGCTCATCTCCCCACTACAAATACAAACTCTACAAAGAAAGGGTTCCATCTAGCTTACCTACTAGTGTATCCCTAGTCTGCAGAACTGCTCAATATATGTTTGTTGAGCTGGTGAATGAATTATGCTGAAGCCTTCCATCAGACATTGTCTTTCTGAGTTGTCAGAAAAAGTGCCTCTCTTCCCTGTATCATTTCAATTATTCTTCCTGAGACCTCACTAGCTCCAGTCAAAGATAATGGAAAAGGCAAGGGAGTCTATGGTTCTGGAAGCCCTACAAGGACACCACAGGACTTCCTTTGTATGAAATCCAGTAGCCAGTAATACCCATTTAATAAACGTTTTCAATTCAGTTGGTATCCCAAACCTTGTAGTATAAACATTATAGACAAAAGCACCACTTAGTGGAATTCATTCTACAACATAACAAATCGAGCTCTGCAAGATGCTGGCAGTTTCTAGATTGAATGTGGGCAGGAGAGAGCTTATCTGTTCCCAGTCACAGCTTAAGCCAAGAGTCCATTAAACATAATAATAGTTACTAGTCCCCGTGGGCTTGATTGACTATCATTAAGGAATCTCTGAGCATTCGATCTAACCATAGGCCCACAGTTGTCCTCATATCTAGGCTAAAATTTAGAAAGCAAAGCCATCAAGCATTATCCCTATGCTGCCATGGCTCTCAAGCTCAGCATGTTAACTCAAAGCAGCCTCAAGAGGATCTCTGTTGTTGGGATTCTAGCATGTTGTATGGACATAGAGTATGTGCATGTAACTTCTTCTAAACTCACCAGTGAATAGTTTATTCATTAAATAAACTATTATGGATTTATATATCATTTATTCATGCACATATAGTTTATTCATTAAATAAACTATTCAAATCAACTCTCTGGAACTCTGGTCTGGGGAACCCTCCTTCCCCCCACCATATCAAAGCACATTTTAAGGACATATCAAGACATGGTATTGATTGGGGGAGAGACCTTAGCATAGGCTGAACAGGTTCTCTAAGTCAGGGGTAGGGGGCAGAATTGGGAACCACTGCCTAATCCTCTGGTATGAACAGAAAGGCTGCCAATTTCAAAGAGAAGCATAGAAGGTGCTATATAATTCTAGAAGTTGCTTTATAACAGGAGCCAGGGATATCAGAATGTGCTCTGGGAAGTGGGAATCCTTCTTAGGCCCTACCTTCTCCGTCAGCCATATTGGTTAGGAGAAACCTAGAAAATTTACCACAGGAACCAAACACAGGATTTTATGAGCCTTTTTGAGGGAAAGCGAACTGAATCCCTTCCTGGCAGGCTTCTGAAGGAAGAGTGAGGGAATGAAATGGGACTCCTTTCTCTACTTTTCCTTCTTCTCTCTGTCTCCTGAAACTGCAGCCTACCCTCCCTACTCTGTGTCCCTCTCTGCAGTCAAATGTTCTACCCCTGAGCTACACTCCTTTCCTTATGTCCCTCTGTATCCAATGTGCATATTATTCAGCAAGGTCGGCTTCTTTCTTTCCTCTCCTGTGCTGTAGAGAGGGGCCAGCACAGGCGGCTTCTAATGAACACCTGGAGTGAAGTGAGTTCCTTTCACTTCAACAACTTGGAGCTTTGCCAGGCCAGGCACCTATCCAATCCAGACTCTTCCTGGGGAAGGACAGGGCCAGGCCTTGGGTCATGAGAAGGGATCTTTTACACTAGCAGTGCTAGACATTCCTCTGCTGGTAATCAGGGCGTCAGAGCTGCTCTTTGGAAAATTCAAACACATTCTACCTCCTTGTCCCCCCTCCATCATGTTTCTAGGCCCAGTGTCAATAATACAACACTTTTGGTTCATCCTTTTGGTGGTTTCTTTGGTGTATGATGCTAGGGTTTCCCCCTTTTTCTTTAACTGTTGATGAGAAAAACTTGACTAAAGCAGAGAAAGCCATTTGGTTGCTTCTTGAAACAAAGAGGTTTTCAATGGAAGGGTCCTGTACCAAGAGACACTGGTACCGATGTGATACCCGATATCACTGTCAGTATTTTAATTTCTGGAATGCCAAAGTGCTCCTGTGCCCAAGCCTGAGAATGATTGTACAACTGCTGCTCCACTCAAGAGTCTTTGTTAAATAAAAGCTGTTGTGGCCCACCAATTTGCCAATCTAAACGTTCTAGAAGGTTAAATTTCGATATTCCCTATAGCCCTCCTCCTATCACAATCATTTCCACTTCTTAATTAGTACGGAGATTAAGAACATGAACTCTGGAACTGAACTAACCTGAATTGGAGGTCATAGCCATGTCATTTATTGACTGTTTGACCTTGAACAAATTACCTAACTTCTTTGAGCTTCAGTTTCTATGTCTCTAAAATGGGATGTTGCTGGGCATTGGTTGTACAAATTTAGAGGTCTCGAGTCCACATCACACAGTGAAAACTGGTATGGACTCGGGGAGGAATCCTGGATTTGAGTCCTGGAGCCTCAGCCAACTCACTTCACTTCTCTGAACTGCAGGGTTTTATTTTTCCAACTAAACTGAGAATAACAGTATGTTCCCCATCTTTCTTACAGGGTTACTGAGAGAATCTAATATATATATGTATGCAAAGTCACTTTGTACAGCGAGGAGGGAGGAACGATGAATGACTGCTTAATGTGAATGGGGTTTCTGTTTGAGAAACCAAAAGTGTTCTGCAGCTAAATGGCGGTGATGGTTGCACAACATTGTGAATGTGCTTAGCTCCGCTGCATTATACAGTTTAACATGATAAATTATGTTATATGTATTTTACCACAATAAAGAATGTTACCTACTTCAATCCTTCTACCAATTTAGACCATCCTGATGCATCCCTTTAGCGGTATTCTGCAGAAAATACTTAAATCCATAAATGAGTGAGCATCCCTTTAATGACCACCAGCCTGGGCTTTAACTTTGGTCCTAACCTAATTGCTTTGCCGTTACTGATGTTGTGGTTGATATATATATATATATATATATATATATATATATATATATATATATATATATATAACTAAAGGCTGCTTCCCTCCATAGGATCTTTAAACATCAACAGGGATTTGTACTAACTGGCCAATTATCTCCATTATAAGTAACTTTTTATTTTTATTTTATTTTCTTGGTGTAGAAGAACTGGGGAATAGGTGAGAGGATTCACCAGAGATCTAGTGGGGAGCAGAACAGGCAGATGTACTGAAATACACTACTAAGGGGAGCAGCAGGTGAGACAGGAGAAGTTTGCTGCGTCATATGTGGGTCACCTCCCTGGCCGGGGATTGAACTCAGGCAGTAGTGGTGATGGCACAGAGACTTAATCTCTAGGCTACCAGGATAGCCCATAAATTACCTTTTTGTTGACTTTTTAGTTACCGTTCTAAATACTGGTTTACTCTACAAGCCCTCTCAAGTTCATCAGAACTAATTAAACAAACCACACATCAGTTGGAGAATGAAAATGTTGACATGGGCATGTGTCTACTAAAATTTGCCACTTGTCACTGGATATTATTTATTTGGCTGATAAACTTAGACATATGAAATACAAATATATTCCCTCTCACATGTCAAGTGATTTTTCATCTGGCTACATTATCTATCCAACAATACTATATGCCCTAACCTTTGTGATGTTGGCATTTGAACCTGTACAACCTTGATTTCTACAAGCATCTCTATTCCTGAAATAACCAAAAACAGATGTTATCTCAGGAAAAATTTTTTCCACCAAAATACAGTCTTCTGTTGCTTATAAATTAAAGTGCTGATATTCGGCTTTTAGAATTACAAAGAAAATGTAAACCACCATGCAAATCAAAAGTCAGAAATGGCAAATCCTACCCCACACCCAGTATTGAACTAGAGCAGGAAAAAGAGAATATGAGATGAATTTATGTCTCTTGTGCCCTTTCACAGGAAGGGGCTAACACTCACCTCCTTCAAACTCAAGATCTTATGTGGGGAAGTCCTCCCTTGTAGGTTCTCAAGTGACTCATTGGTTTCTTCAAGGTCCTCGGCAATGATGTCAGATCGGCTAAGAGTTGGACTGATGCTGGGCTGGCTTGGGCGCAGTGGTGGGCTCTGTCAAGGTTGGGACAGAAGGATATTTTTTAAATTTGTGGGCTATTCTTTCGCTTACTGGTGTCTTGCTTAATGGTCAAGGGATTGATAACCCAAGGTTAAAAAAAAAAAAAAAAAAAAAAAACAAGCCCAGGAAAGAATTGTCTATGTCTGTGTCTTCACTTCTAGTACTTACTTAATCCAAACCAACAACCTTGATTCACACTCTGGGTTGCCAGTCCCCAAACAAAAAGTAGAAACTTCAAATTGCTTGTTCGATCAAAACCAGAACTCTGGTTTTATCTTTCTGCCAAAGCTAACTATAAATCTTGTTTGATTCCAACCACTGTTTTGACCTTGGCCATGTCTTTGAAAGTCTGGTTGTTATGGAGGTGAGTTTTGGGGTTATGATCTGGGCTTGGCATCAAAAGTACAATCCTTGCTCTTATTTCAGAAATTGTCTAGATTGGATCTTGACTGTGTTAGTATTCTTATCTCAATCCTGTCAAGATTGATTTTCTGGGATTTTTAGAAAATTACAGAAGTAGCTCAGGTTAGATTTGCTTTACTAGTTTCCCTACAGGGATGAAATTGATCATTTGGGTTTTCCTTGGGCTTCAGCAGACTAGTTGATTCTAATTTGAAGCTCGAGGTACACTTGAATTTGAGTCTAGTTCCTGCCCTGGTCCTCTTGATGTGGATCAGAATCCCTGATTTTTTACCTTTAACAAATACTGGGTAAATATCTACAATGGGTCATACTTCATTGCAAGCACTAGGCCGAGAATAAGGAACAAAACCAAGGTCTTCCAGTCATGGAGGTGACATGCTTGTTTCCGTCACAAGCTCTGGCTCAGCCTTGGCATTTCTAACAGAACAGTATAGCTGGGACTTTGACCTAGATGTTACTATTATAACCACAGTAAATGAGGAAAAGAAAGCCCAGAGAGGTTAAGCAATTAGCCCAAGGTCACAGAGCCAGTAAGAAGCAGAGCAAAATTCAAGCATAGGGCTGTCTGATTCAGCTATTATGCTTTCAGTAATTCCACTCCATTACCTCAGTGATCTTGGAGCCTGCAACCCACATTTCACTTCTGGGCGTACTTGGGGTCACATCTCCAAATACAACTCCAGAAAGATGTCCACGCGTACCACCAGGCCCAGTTCTAGGTAGAGTTCTGGAAAGGTTATATCTCCTCTGTGGAAGAAAGAAAATATATGGGGGGTAGAGGGTGCACACTGACAGTGAAATATTACGTCATACTACTGGCAATATTCTTACCAAGAGAAGTGCATATGGTAACACCAGCCAACAATGTGCACTGGGCATTAGGTAAGCACATTATATTTATACTCTCTCAATGTTTACAACAGCACTGTAAGAATCAGCTGAAAAGCAGGGCCATATTCATCCTTAATTTTTGGTGGGGTGGGACTAGGGCAATGAAGAGGTGGAGTAGTTCAACTAGATACTGATGCTGAAGTTCACATTACCTGCATAGATCTGCCTCTGCGGGGTACTGGAGAGGAGTGTAATTTACTTGCTGATTTTTCAACCTTGGGCTCCAACATGAAGATGCTGTCGTGGGACAGAGCTTTGCTCCCCAGGGTTCTCTTGACCCTGGACAAGAAGGAATAGGTCTTGTAAAAGCAATCCCAGGTCCATAAGAACTGAAAACACATGTAAACCCATAATATGGCCTACCATAGATACCTCAGAAGGAGGGTGGGATGCATTTGCGCTGACACAGAAAATTATCCATGACACAGTAAGTAAAAAAATATTATCTTCGTTTCATTTAATATATACTTATTACATACATAAACACAATGTATTACACAAATGTGCCTTTATTTTTTTAATGATTCATTTATTTATTCATATAAGAGCTGGGGTACAGGCCAGAGATGTGGGGGTGAGAGAATTCACCAGAGACAGAGTGGAGAGCAGAACATACAGATGTACTGAAATACACTGGTGAGGGGAGCAGCAGGCAAGAGAGGAGAGGTCTGCTGCACCATGTGGGTCACCTCCCTGGCTGGGGATCAAACTCGTACTGCAGTGGCTGCAGATTGCTTCATAGTGTTGTGTTTTAACCTCTTGTGCCACCAGGGAGGCCCCAAGAAACTTCAGCCAAAGACATCACAAGAAAAAAAAACTACAGACCATTATCTCTTATGAATAGAGTTCCAACAATCCTCAATAAAATATTAATCTGAATCCAGCAACATGTAAAAAGAATTCTACAGTATACCAAGTATGGTCTGCAAGCAACACAAACTTACTTTAACATACAACCATCAATAAATGTAATACACTCTATCAATAGAATAAAATAAAATCAACAGTCACTTTAATAGATGCAGAAAAAGCATTTGTAAAGTCTACCACCCACTCTTGATGAATGCACTCACAAAGACTACATCTATAAGAAACCCACAGCTGGGGCCTCCCCTGGTGGTGCAGCGGTTGAACGCTGGGCTGCAAGGCTGCCCGCAGCCTCTGCAGCGCCAGTTCGTTCCCTGGCCACCGGCACGGGGGGTCCCACCAAAAAACAAAAAACAAAAAACCCACAGCTAAGGTCATATTTAGTGATTTAAGACAGGATGCTTCCTCCCTCAGATCGTGAACAAGACAAGAATGTCTCCTCTCACTACTTCTACTCAATATTGCACTAGGAGTTCTAGCCAGGGAAACTAGGTAAGAAAGTGAAAAAGGCATCCATACTGGACAGAAAGACATGACATTATCTCTAATCACAGTTATGATCTTATATATCAAAGAATTTTCATCTGGAACCACCATTTTCCAGTAAGTCTCCAAAATGACCCACAAGAAGGGAGAGGGGAGAGGCGCCCACCATATGCTCTCTAGGCCTTTTCAAAAACCTGGGGTCGTTCCTTTGGCCATGCATATGCGAATCTACAAAAAAAGGTGATATTGTAGCCATCCAGGGGATGGATCCCATTCACACAGGAACGCCCCACGAGCACCCCCATGGCTAGACTGGAAGAGTCTATAGTGCCTCCCAGCCTGCACTCAGCATTGTTGTAAACACACACGGGCAGGATGCTTGCCAAGAAAATTAATGCTTGAATCGAGCATATTACGCATTCTAAGAGCCAACGTAGCTTCCTGAAACATGTGAAAGAAAATGCTCAGAAAAAAAAGGAAGCCGAAGAGAAAGGTACTTGGTGTCACCAGAAGCCCAGCCTACTCTCCCCAGGGAAGCACGCTGTGTGGGAACCAGTGGGAAGAAACCTTAGCTGCTGGAGCCCAGTCACTGTGAGCTCCTGTCATTGCTTCTCTGTGGCCTGCTGGCTCCAATCAAGTTTCATGTTTATGCCCCAACCCAGCTTGGTAGTTTCACTATTTGAGTCTTTTATTTTATTTTTTTTAAGATTTTATTTATTTTTATACAAGAACTAGAGTACAGGCCAGATGCACGGGAGAGTGAGAGGATTCACCAGAGACAGAGTGGGCAACAGAACAGGTAGACTGATGAAATACACTGCTGAGGGGAGCAGCGGGAGAGACAGGAGAGGTCTGCTTCACCATGTGGGATTCTCGCCGGCCGGCCGGGATCAAACCCATGCTGCAGAGGCTGCAGACAGCTTCACAGTGCGGCGCTCAACTGCCTGCGCCACCGGGGAGGCCCTACCTGAGTGTTTTAATTGTGAGTTATGAGATCTGAAGGCTGGGCAGGCAAACCAGACCTGGTTGATGTAGGTCTTCCTTCCCTTATGAAACAAGGACCCAGCTGTCACCAGTGGCAGGCCCCGGGCCTCAAGTTAGTGTAGCTGTGATAGAGAGGTCCCCTGATCTAGCTGCACTTTGTCACCCAGTGCTCATGGGGCATGGAGTGTGCATTTGTCATGCCCAGCCCACTGTGCTGCACAGCCCAGACAAGCATACAGGTGGGCAGAAAGGGCACCAGAACATGGCTGCTTCAGCAATGGCTGCAGAGCCGTTCCCCATAGGAAGGGAGGCCAAGGGTCCCTGGGACCAAAGGCCCATTGGGATTTGGTTGCCAAAGGGTGACCTGGATCCAGTTGTGTGTCCCTTACCCCATCCCCATCCCCTTCCGCCCAACATGAGCTTACTGAGGCTTAATCTGTTGGACTTCTGGAAGTGGCTTCGGAGGAGTGACGTTAGTATTGCTGCTGGACAAACTCGGTTTCAACATGCTCCCTCCCTGGACATCTTTAGCCTCCTTTTTCTTCTTCTTGCCAAAAAAACTCCTTAAGGCTTTAAATTTGGATTTCTTCTTTCCTGGAAGTTAAAAATGAGAGCGAGGCAGAGTGTGATGGTGGAAGGGAAGACAGAAGAGGAAGCTGGGTGTTTGTGTTGGAACGAGGACTGAGAATTCAGGTGCAGATATCGGCCCTCACCCCCAATGCCCACACCACCTTTCACTTGGTTTGTCCTCTTCTTCACAGCTCAGTCACAAAGTGTCCTGAGTTTCTGGTGAAAGCAGAAGCCCAGGCCCCAGCTACTGCACACACCTCTTTCTGACCTGAAGAATTTCATTCATGGACAGCAAGTACTGGGCCAGCACAAGCACCCGGTACCCTCCCGACTCTACACCGATGACTGGAGTCAAGTCAGTGTTGGGGGTGGGGGCAGGCTTCCACATGTGAAAACCACTTTAGGACCATTGGAAATCCATGTGGGAGTGGGTACAGCCCAGCCTGTGTGCTGAAAGGATGCAGACCAGTCGATTGGCATAGTCAGGGAAGACTTCCTTGAGGAAGACATTTATGAAGAAGACAGGCTGGAAATCAGAAAGAAGTAAGGGCTGCCAGGCAGAGAAGCTTGTGCAAAAGGCATGACAAAATCAGATCCAAAAGGTCTTGCAAAGGGTGTGTGTGTGTGTGTGTGTGTGTGTGTCTATGTTGTGTGCGTTCTTGAACTGGCTGCCAATTAGTCCAGATGATCTACAGGGTTGTTGTCCTGAGCATGTGCGGACAATTGAAAGTTCACTCTGTCTAGAATAATAACTACCAGGGCAGCAGTGAGGATGTGTGCTTTAAATGCTTTTATTTGGGGGGCCTCCCTGGTGGCCTAGGGGTTAAGTTTCAGTGCAATCACCACTATGGCCTGAGTTTGATGACTGGACAGAGAGCTAACCCACATATGGCGCAGCAGACCTCTCCTATCTCGCCCGCTGCTCCCCTCCTCAGCAGTCAGTATATTTCAGTGGATCTGCCTGTTCTGCTCCCCACACTGTCTCTGGTAAATACTCTCACCCTCCCTCCACCTCTGGCTTACACCCCAGTTCTACACAAATGCTCTTGTTTGGGCACATATATCTCTATGAGGGTCCAGTAGATGAGGGGAGGTGGGGAGGGGAGTTTGTGCTTGCATTCTTCCGAGGGAATCAGCTCTTACTGTTTTCACATGCAGTAATTTACCAACTCAGGTGTCTCATTCGAATTCCCAACAGTCTGGTCTCTGGACGGCCTCTTGCCAGCTCAGCAATGCTGCACCATCAGTGAAGGGCCAGCCAAGGCTGTTGCCAATGGAGCTGCCATTAGAAAGGTTTAGTAGTGTCATGGAAAGCACCACCTAAGAGTCAGAAAATTCTGGTATCCATGGCTTTAATCTATTATTAATTAGCTATGGGACCTTTGGTAAATCACTCAAACTCAGCAGGAAAATGAGGGGATCACATTAATCAGCAACTTCCAAAGCATGTTCAGAGGGACACTTGTAGGCTATTCATAAGTCAAGTACATAAAAAAGGGATCTGCAGTTCTATCAATCTGGAAAATACTAATTTAGACCAAGCTTAGGGATCTGCTTTCCAACAAGATTTTTCTGAAACTTCATTACACTAGTGTGTAATGAACAAACTGGACAAAACTGTCTCCCAAATGCATTTAAGTAGAATGTCTGACCAACATACTTTGGGGAATGCTAGCTCTGAAATGTCCAGGTTGATCACGCCTGGGTCTGCTGATTAGAAAGGTTTCTAAACTTCAAGGCCTTAAGGCCACATTCATGTTTTCTTTGCACACCTATAACTTGACTGCTGGCTTGCATCTAAGTGCTCTCTGGTCTGCTTGCTCATTCATTCGTTTGTTCATTCATTTGGTTATTCAACAACTATTTATTAAGATCAAACACTTACTATATTCTGGGTATCAAGGAGAAAAGAGTAAGATAGTGTTCTATGTCTTAACTACAATGCCTACTCCCTAAGGACCTCGTTTTTATCTCTGTTAGAAACCAACACAGTACAAGATAAGCAGTAACAATCAAGGGACAATGGAGTCCATTGAATACCAACACAGCTTGTCACTTCCATTAATTTGAGTTCACTGAAAAAAAGTTGTCCCCTTACTAGGGCAGATTGAATTTATAAATAATGTAGGTAAAGAGTTTAGCATAGAAACTGGAATGTAAGTGCTAATAAATGTGAGCTAGTAATAGGGGATTAATAATTACTTATTTATTAAAACAGATCCAATTCTACCTGTAGAAGTTATCTATCAATTCTCTCTATTTAATCTATCTCTCTGTAGATAAGGGGAAGGAGCTCTGTCACTATAATTCAAGAAAGAACTAGATCTAAAATATACATGACTAAAAGAGCAGATACCAGCATGGGGTAAGGCAATGGAAGAAAACTATAGGACTGCTTGCTTGATAATTACCACCTAAGTAATTTCAGTTTGGCGTGACTTGGACAATTTCTCATCTATATAGGAAGCACCTATACAGGGTCACAGTTGGGACAAATGTGGCAATTCTACTTAAAGACAGAATTTAAAAAATGAAGATACAACAGGAAATATAGTTTTCCAAGATCCCGTCTTTAATTTTCAGAAAAAGTAAACTAATTTCTATGATAAATTAAATTACTTAAAAGGAAGCTTGACCCTGAACTACTGTGAAAATTTCATGTGAGCGTGCTGAAAAACATACAGCACAAAGCAGATTGGCTTTATTTTGTTCCCTGGCTTTCTTACCTGTAGAACAGATCTATTAGCTCTCTCAATCTATTTCTCTCTCTCTAGAGATCTCTCTACCTGGAGAGAGAAAGACAGGCTATTTCTATCTTTATTTTGTTCCTGGCTTTCTTTCTTAATCTCCCATTCCCAGGTGATTTCTAAGTTCTGTGAAATAGTGAGATTTTGAAGATCCTAATTAGAATACTATTACTAAAATCAATTCTTTTTGGTGGAAAAACATTTACTAACTGGATGTCTGGGGGAAATGCCCTTATGTTTAGTATTTGCCCATTCCTACAATGTAAACCACTACCACCAGGGTCAATTTCAAGCTACCAATATTTGGGAAGAGATGTGTCCAGTTTCCCAAGCCAGTGTGAGCCAGCCCCACCTATCACTAAATAATTCCTGCCCAGTAAGGATGACTTGGGAAGTGTCCTCTCACAAACAGGGAGGACCACACTGTACTTTGGCTTTTGTAGGCATTGCCATTTTTCAAACAGAAGGACTAAGGTTCTTGTGGTGGATATCTCCTTCTGGCTTTGTGAAAAGGGAAAAACCTTATCTGCAGAGTGTTTGGAAATATAGTGATTATTGCCCCTCTGGACTCAAATCACCAGCATGAAAGGGAGGAGGGCAAAGATAGAGGGTTTGGAGTTGCAAGCCTGCTTCTCATAAACAAGCAAAGCAGCAAAAAGAGAGGGGAGAATCCCCCACTGGTAGCTCCATTTGTGACACAATCTACAAACAATAACAGAATAAAAACATCTCTAGTAAATAAAACATTCAGGCTGTGAAACCGAATACAGCAAACATAATCATTGTAGAACCAGACAAAATTATGCATTGACCCTAAATTAACAACATGACTAGTGACCTTAGAACTGTCACAAATGCTGTGTGTGTGTGTGTATACACACACACACACACACACACGTTATGTATGTGTGTGTTTCTATATTCCAGTTTTGCTCCAATTTGCCATTTTTGGAAAGGAACAACTTATTTTCCCATGAGGATGCAGAATACCTTAAGCAATGTATGTTCTTTTTCAACCATGGGCACTGGAAGGAAAAGAATGTTTGCATTCCTCCCTGGGGGGTCGCTGAGTGTGGTGGTGGGATAGCTCCACTGGTGGGGACTTAGGGAGGCACCTAGAGATGGTAACTGCCACCCATGGCTGGTTCACTGCTCGTGGTCTTGGGCAGTGACTTGGAAGCTGGACAGAGCTTTATTAAGCAATGCATCGGCATACATCCAATATCAAGAGTCCAAACCTTCAGCCTGCTTTGGCTTAGGAGATCATGCCAACCCCCAGCCACATCAGACAAGCCCTGGGAAGAAGATACAAATCTGGGAACTGTCCACATGCTATGATAATACTTTGAATCCCTAAATGAATCCAAACACTTGCCATATATTCAAGTGCATAAATTGGCCTTTCAAGCTTTCCTTCATAAAGAAGTGCTTTTAAATTGCCAGAAGCTAAGCCCTGGGCAGGCTGGCTTTCAAAAGCTGCTAAAAGTGCCAAGGGTAAATCGATACCAGATTAGGGTCAAAATTCCCATTGGTAGCCAACAATGTTTGGGCAGGTCACCTATACCCTGGGTAATTTACGCCCCCACAAGGGACAGCAATGGCGGTCAGTGAGCTGACCAGTTGGCAGCTTTCTGGATTTTTCCTATAACAAAGCCATTGATCTCCCTGTCCAAACCCAAGGACTGTGTATTCCTACCCAGCCACGAGCTTTCAACATCCTCTTCCATTGAGGGACTGCAGTGTGTCCCAAGCCAGAAAACCACCCATGGAAGTCTGTGTTTGCACTCACAGAAGAAAACACTGCTGAATCTAACGAGGAATTCATTGCTTCTAGGTTGTATATTTGTTATCCACCGTGTGCACAGGCAGCCCATCCAGGTTGAACTTAATGAACATTGAAAATTCATCACATAATGGTGACCTTGTTCTCTTGCATTTGCTGCTTTAAAAGAAAGCATTGCTAACAAGCCTTTCTTCCCTTCAGCCTCCAGTCACCTTATTCTCACTCTGGCTAGCAATGATGAATTCTAAAAACATACAAGAATGTTTGGTGCTTCAAAAAAAAATTGGGGAACAGAGGAAAAAACATTTCCTTAACTCCACTCTTTATTAAGGTGTACCTCATGGCCGCCTTCTTCTGCAGGCCTATGTCTAGCTCATATCCAAAAAGATAGCACAGTTGGATTGATCAATGAGGCTGCCTTGGTGAGGAGGCCAACCCTTCGTGATTTAGTCTTTCATCCACAAGATTTACCTGAAAGTGTAATCATTCTCTCTCTCTGAGGCCTAATAATAAACAATGGTGAGGCAGAGAGAAAGACCCAAGCTCTGTCCTCAAAAACCTGTGTACCACACTCAGCATGCCCCTCTCCAACATCTTCAGTGCAGTGAGGCCTCCAGGAAGCTACACAAAGCTTCCCCTGTGTCCTTCCAGGCCAAGTCTGCAGCACCATACACTACTGCAAAAACTCAGCAAAGATGGGAAAACAACCAGTAAATTGTTCATTTCAGCTCAGTCTTTAAATTCAATGTCTTAGTTTATGTTTTTAGGTCCCTTTTCTTACTTTTTTCTCTTTTTCTTTTGGTGTCAATAAAGATTATCATTATTTAGCTTATCATTGTTAAGCACTGATTTTGTCTCCCTTTTTATTATTTTGTTCATGGTCACCTACCACACATGGGTGGCACCATAGTTTAGATGATAGATACACTAAGTATGGCATACACAGCTGAGTTTTACAAGAAGAAATTTTTTTTTGTCAGTTGAATCCTATTTCACAGAGGCCTATGGTAGCATCTTTTGTCTCTATCCCTCCTATACTCCTCAAATTACAAAATTATCTGTTAAAGCTGGGTTACTATCTACAGTAAAACCTCAGTTGAATTTCTCAGAGCACAGTCTTTTCTGATTTTTTTCCTGATTAAGTGGAGATACTTCTCCTGCCTTAGTAAAGAGAACCCGGTAGCCATAACCAAGGAAGACAGCAGGGTCTCAGAAAAGCCTTTGACCATCAGACTTGGAGATGAAAGACAAGGGGTTAGAAGACTGAAAAGTGCATGTGGGTTGAAGCTCATGTTATTACAAATTTAAAATGAACTTGTTCTCTTGTGACATGGTTCCTCTTCCTAAAGGTTAAGCATAGTGACCAAATCCTGTTCTACAATAGTTATAGAGATTTTATTGGGCTACTTACCCTCATCACTGGTCTCTGGAACGTCCACGTGGGAAACATCCCTTAGTGGGTCAGCCATAGCAGCATCACTGAAATAAAATAGAGTGGAAAAGTAAAAGATCATTGGTTGATATCCACAGCATAACACAATCATTTTACCCTACCCCTCGTCCTTGGGTTAGATTCTTAAATGATCCAAGAAAACATATACCAAGACGACGAGTCCATTTATGTGAAATGTCCAGAACAGGCAAATACATAGACATGGAAAGTATCTTGCTCAGGGATGGAGGAAGTGAAGATCACTTTTTTTTAAGTAATGATAATGTTCAAAAATTAACTGTGGCGATGGTTATAGAAATCTTTGAACATAATAAAAAATCACTGAACTGTACACTTGAAATGGGTGTGTTGTATAATATGTGAATTATATCTCCATAAAGCTATGACTGAAGAAGACAAGTGTAAAAAAAAATCTGGTCATTTGCTTTGTGTTGGGGTCCATTACTTTTGGGGGTCTATTGGTTTACTGATGATAACTCCCAGAGAGGCAACATTGTCTTGATAAGCAGCCAGAGCCATTAAGGAAAAGATTGAGGTATTTGATTACATAAAAATTTAAGACGTTTGGCCAAATACCTAAGTGTCAACAGAAGAATAAGAAACAAGGAAAGAATATTTGCCACAATAAAGATACTGGGACCAATTTTCTTAATTTGTCGAGAGCTCCTACAAATCAATAAAACACAATTAACCTGATATAAAATGGTGCAAAAAATCCAACAGGCTGTTTATAGAAAAGAAACACAAAAAGTTAATAACCACATCAAGAAGAGTTCAGACTCATTCATAATTAAAGAAATACAAGTCAAAATATCAACAGTTTCATGTATCAGTTGTCCAAAAAATTTCATTTTGATGATATTCCATTGCTGATAGGATGGGAAACAGACACATTCATTCATTTCAGAGTGCACATTGCTCTCTGAACAACAGTTTTGCAATCTCAAAAATTTTTAAATGCACATACCTTTTGATCCAGTAGCATCACTGAACTTTACCCTGCAGATACACTCAACACTTGTACACAAAAATAAACATGCAAGAATATTTATCACAGCATCATTTTAAATAGCTCCCAATGGGGAAAAAAAAGTGACCATCAAAAGGATCACTCTCCCATGACTCAGATCCTATGTCACGGGAGAGTTATCCATCCTGTGCTTTGTTCCATCAGTACAGATGCTCAGCTGAGATCCAACTGTAAATTTTCCATTCAATCTAGCCTTCCAGCAAAAGCTAGGGGTGACAGGTCTAGGGGCACATGTCAGTGGAGGATCAAACCTTTATAAATCAGTGCTGACATTCTGGCTGGGAATTTGCATGTGGCAGGTGAGGGGCATCTCATGAGCACCATAAGCCAGAGGAAGGGGGCTATACTCACACAGCAGGAGTGTTGTAGAGACCAGCAGAGACTGCCCTTGGGGTCTGGATGTGACTGAAGTACCATCAAATGGGGTTGCCTAGATTCTAGAGCCATCCCCCTGCCCCCATCTGCTCTGCTCCCAGATATCATCAAGCTGCCATTGTTGCTTCATGGATGGACTCCAGGCCCATTCTGTCCTGCTGTCCAGCTGTAAGCCCCTAATACATTTGTGAAGGCAAAGAGGGGTGACTATAGGCTGTGAGGTTAAAGAGAACTTGAGAGCTCACCCAGTCAGAGTGGCAAGGGCTTGGAAAGCATAAGTTTCCAAAGGACAGCAGGGCTGAGAGGGCCCTGATGTCAAGATTGCTTTAGACCCTCCTGCTGAGAAGTCCCCGGAGCCCCACAGCCTGTGTGCTTTCTCAGTGCAATGAGGCAGAAACCCAAACTGTTCGACGACAGGTGTACTCTCATGTGGGCTTGGCTACCAGGTACCGACACATTGTTCAAGCCCTCAAACTCTACGAGTCAATATCACAATTCTGTTCAAAAATGACTCAGCCGCAGACCCACACAATGCTCATTCGTCACCACCCATCTGGAGCTCTGGAAGGAGCAAGGAAGTGGGGAGATGCAAGAACTTCTCAGAAATTCAGGGGGAGAACAGTAAAATTCCTTGGGCCTGGCACGGGGGAGTTCCTGGACCTTCTTAATAAACACGGCGGCACCCCACACTGCAATAAACACGGCATCACCCCCACCCTGCAATGAAGGACAGCTTTGTGCACACTGGGGAAATAAACGCTCTCTGAGCTTTAGAGAAAAGTGCCAGAGTACCAGACCACAGTAAGCAGACACCGTCCTTGACCCACCACTGCCAGGGGTAGAAGAAAGGAAAACCACCACCAAAGAGAAAAAAAATGCAAGAGACTCAAAGGACAATAAAGAACGACGGTATATGGTGGCATCTGCCTCCCCAGAGCACCAACAGAATCATTCAATTTAACAAACTCAAGTTTAGACTGGCTCAAATTCCTTCAGGCGCTCTCATCTCACTTCCCCAAAGGAATCCTAAGAGCCCCAGGGTAACAGCACCATCAGCACAACTGCCTCCCCCTCTAAACAAACCAACAACTGCAGTAAAATACACAAACCTCTCCTTGACTCGAAATTCACTTCCAGTTACCATCACCTTTCTCTGCATCTCTTCAAAGCATCTACATCAAAGGTAGACGGATACTTACTGTCCTTATGTCTTCCCTTCTCCCCTCGCCAGTCAAGCTTCCAAACCAACTACTTCCAAATCACTCCAGCAAAACTGGTCTTGTCAAATCCAATGGTTGGTGATTTGACCTGCCAGCAGCATCTGACACAGTCGATCACTACCTGCACTTTGAATAACTGTGTCGCCAGCCTTTTCAAATCGCCTCACCCCCACCCCCTAATTTTCTCCTCCCTCATCAGCCAATCCTTTCTCAGTCTCCTTTGCTTGATCTTTCTCCTGTGCTTGAATTTGCAATGTTGTAGCACCCAAGGGCTCTGTCCTTGGACCTCTTCTTTATCTATAAGTTTTCTAGAACTGCGCCACTAATGAAAAATGTTGACGTGGGCCACTGTTGCAAACCACACATTTTGGGGGAGGGGTTTTAAATTTTGTATATTTTGTACATCATTTTTCATTTTTGTACAACGTATGCATTTTCATCTTGGTTATAGTCCCCGTATAATTCCCACCACCCTTATTTTGATCCTACTCCCTTCTCCCCCACTGTAGTGTGTCTCTGGTTTATAGTTGCTTGTTGATTTTGATTTTTACTTTATTATAATTAGTCTTTTTCCTGGTCCCTTATTTAGGTTTTCTAAATTCCTGCTATGAGTGAGACCATCCGGTATTTTTCTTTTCTTTTCTTTTTTTTTTTTTTTTTCTGGCTTGTTTCACTGAGCATGATCCCTTCCAGCTCCATCCATGTTGCTGCAAATGGCATGAGTTTATCTTTTTTGATTGCTGAGTAATATTCCATGGTGTATATGTACCACATCTTCTTGATCCAGTCATCTATTTTGGGGCATTTGGGTTGTTTGCATAGCTTACCTATTGTAAATAGTGCTGCGATAAACAGAGGGGAGCAGGTGCCCTTTGAATGAATGTTTCTGTGTCCTTTGGGTAAATACCTAGGAGTCAAATGCTGGATCACATATGGAAGCTCCATCTTTAGCAGACTGAGGAATCTCCACACAACTCTCCATAGTGGTTGGACCATTTTGCACTCCCACCAGCAGTGCAGGAGAGTTCCTTTTTCTCCACATCCTTGCCAACATTTGTTGTTGCTAGTTTTTTTTAATATGTGCCACTCTCACTGGTGTAAGATGGTATCTCATGGTAGTTTTGATTTGCATTTCCCTGATTATCAGTGATGTTGAACCTTCTTCCATATGCCTATTGACCATTTGCATTTCCTCTTTGGAGAAGTTTCTTTTTAGCTCTTCTGCCCATTTTTTGACTGGGTTATTTACTTTGTTTTTGTTGAGTCTCGCTAGCTCTTTGTAGATTTTTGGCCACACAGTAATTTTAAATGTTCTAGTTGTCGACATTTGAAAGAGCGAAAAGAAGCAAGTTACTTATAACACTATTTTATTAAACTCAGTAGGAACAAAGTAGTATTTCAAGTCATAATTATTATAAAAATAATGGGACCAGATCCCATAAGGCCCAGGGTAAGGTTCTGGGATTTTGCTCAGCATGATGGCAAGTCACTAGGGGTTGTAAGCAAGGGTTGATGTGACTGATGTGGGTACTGAGTGGACAACAGGGAGGCTAAGGTGGAGCCTAGAAACATCTTAGAAATGGAGGCAAGCTATGAGGCAGAGAAGACTTGTCCTGGAAGAGGAACCTCCTTGCTTCCCAACTTAGCAGGATGTGATTTCCCTCCCAACAAGGTGGGCCCCACCCCCAGGTTATTCCCCTGTGTAGAACTGAGGTCTCGGGCCCCTCTTGTTGTATTCCCAGGTGTCCCGGCAATGAAGAACCCTTGGTGTGGAGTCCATATGGCTGGGTTAGGCCCTCGTGGAGGGGGTTTTAGGAACAGATGCCCTGGCCCTTCCTACTTTACAACCACCACCACAGACAAAACTTCTTTCTCTTTGCCCTCCGGCTGAACTGATTAAATAGAACTTGGCTCCCCAAGCTTCTCCTCATAGAGGAATGGCTATATTTCTTTCATGTATCACCTATGGCTAATATAAGTTTATAGTGAATTGGTTCTTTAATTATACCAGGGGATCTTTGATAGTGGCCTGGGGATTGCCTCCCCTGGTCTTCACTTTTTTTCATGATATTTAGATATTTAGAACAACTGTCACCTTACTTGGTAATGTTCTCTCTAATATACCAATCTGACCAGGAGCCTGTCCTGCTTAACTAGTTCAACATCCCTCCTGCTGCCTGCAGGGTGAAAACCAAGTTCTCAATAGTCAAGGCCCTCCAAATCTGGTGTTCCCTGCCACCCCCTTCATTCTACCAGGAGTTTACACCCTCATGTCATGGTCCCTCAGAATCACTAGTCTCTCCCTAAACACACTGTGTTCTTTCATGTTCTCTGGACTCTTCACAGAGCTGTCTGCTTGACTGGAACACCACCTCCCTAACCCCCATGTCCTTGAAATCCTTGGAAACATACTTCAAAGGTTCCACCCACACCCCACCCTTGACCTTTTGCACATGCCTCTGTCATGGCGGCTATGACTTGAAACAGGGACCACATTTTGCGTACCTGGATTTCACCAGCGCCTCACCTGTGTGATACCAGGCACACAAGGGGGTCGCTCTGTTTTTACTGATGGATGACTGCAGCAGTTGTGCAGGGGGAGGTGGCAGGGGGTGTTTGCAGTGGCAAGAATCAGTAGTAATGTCCCCTATGGGGACAATTTAAGATACTTTCAGTAAAAGACCCCTTTGCAAGAGGTCCCATGAAAAAGCTGGCAGGCTGAGTAAGGAAAGAGAAAATAGTATAAGTTTTCATCCAGTAAATCGATAAAGTTTTCAGTCTTCAGTATAAAGTTTCACATCCAAGCAGCATAACGTCGTGTAATAAGGGTCATCAGGAGGCCTGGCCCAGCAGAGATATAAAGTTTTATTATCAATCATTATTTAAATGCCTACTTGGTCTTGGCCAAACTGATGCTGAAAGCCTCAGAGCCACCTTTTCCTTCTCAGATTGTCTGGACTTGAGGGCTGAACAAGGACTCTAGAGGGTGGCCAGTAGGAAGAGAGAAAAAGCAAGGGGGAAAATCATGTCTTCCGAGTTTGCTGAAAAAAATTTTTTTAGAGGAAATACTGTATGACCCTGCAATTCCACTCTTGGGGATTTATTTTTCTTTTAAAGATTTTATTTATGCATAGAAGAACTGGGGTGGGGCCTCCCTGGTGGTGCAAGGGGTTAAGCACCGCACTATGAAGCAATCCGCAGCCTCTGCAGCACGAGTTCGATCCCCGGCCAGCCAAGGAGAAACCCACATGGTGCAGCAGACCTCTCCTGTCTCTCCCACTGCTCCCCTCAGCAGTGTACTTCAGTCAGTCTGCCTGTTCCGTTCCCCACTCTCTGATGAATCCTCTCCTCCCTCAACCCACGACATCTCTGGCCTGAACCCCAGCTCTTGTGTGCATAAATAAATCTTAAAAAAAAAAAGAACTGAGGTGTACACTAGAGTTATGGGGGGGGGGGTGAGAGGATTCACCAGAGACAGAGTGGGGAGCAGAAATACTCTGCTGAGGGGAGCAGCAGGTGAGACAGGAGAGGTCTGCTGCACCATATGTGGGTTAGCTCTCTGGCTGGGGAGCAAACTAATGCCACAGTGGTTGGTGATAGCTTGACAGTGCTGAGACTTTAATCCCTGTACCACCAGGGAGGCCCCTGTTGAAATTTTTTAACCAAAGTCTGGTTCAGCTTCAAAGATTCAAGAGACTTTGCTTGATGGCTTTGTTGCCTTCCCAGAGTGGGAAATGCCGATGGAAAGCAGCTGGCCTCATTTAAAAAAGAAAAAACTAAAAGGATAAAATATTTTTCATAGTGTGTGGTAGGCAGATTCTGAAATAGCCCCCAAGACTGCACCCCCACATCCCTCCTCCCCTGTGTGTATGCCCGTCAATCTCCCCTTGAGTGGTGGTGGGCCTGACCTAATCAGGTGAGCACTTTTGAAAAAGAATCTAGAGGTCACATACCAACATCAGAGGGTCAAACGTACGGCAAATGCCCTCCCCACTGACCCTGAAGGAACAAACAACCATGCTGTGAGGGCCTCGTGGCAGGGGACAGCAGGCAACTCCAGTAGCTGAAAACAATCCCAGGTTGACAGCTATCAAAAGAGCAGAGACCCTCAAACCTACAACCTCAGAGAACCGAATTCTGCCAAGTACCAGTCAGTTGGAGGAAAACCTGAAACCTCAGATGCTCCATCAGCCCAGGCTCACAGGCTGATGACGGCCTTGAGACACTGAGCAGAGAAACCAGCTGGACTCAAAGAAGCTGAGAGATAGGAACTTGGTGTGGTTCTAAGACACTGCAATTTCTGTCATTTGTTACACAGCAACAGAAAATGACTACAATCCCTACAGGCCCCAGTTCTCACCGAGGAAGAAATCAAAAGTGGGGCAGGTTTGGAGCCGTGCAAGATGTAACACAGAACCGTGAACACAGGGGGACAGGCTGCTCCCCGCCCCAGCATGCCCACTGCAAACACTTCATGAAGAATATAGGTCGCTATTCTCTCAAGAGAGTTGTCCACTGAACAGGCTAGACCCCGCCAAGATCTCAGCACACACAAAAGCCCCCTGCAGGCTGATTGTGTTTGACCCGGATGTCCCTACCAGCAAGAGTGTCTCCAAGCCCACTGAAAGTATTGTTAGACTCTGCATTACGCTCTGTCATACTCCATGTGTGTGCCACCAAGCAGTGGATGAAGAGCCCCAGGCTTGACGATTCTAAGACTCAGTGTGGGCAGAGAAGGATGAGGAGTGCATTCCTCCTCGATACTGCCCAGCTAGTTCGGGAAGTAGTGTCTGTTGCCAAAATGCCAACTCATTGAGGAACCTGAGCCCCCGAGTGGAAAATATCAAAAAGGGTTGCTGTGCCCCCTACTAATAGTAGAACAGGCTAATCTCCAGTGGAGAGGCAACTGGGATGCCTCCCCCGTCCTCACTTCCTTGCCTGAGGTTGACAGGAGAGCACCCAAGGGTCGCCGGCCAGATCTCCCGATACAACCCTTGCGCTGCAGGATGGAGACGGCTGCCCCCATCACACCCTGAGCTCCAGAAGTCCTAAAAGTTAGTCAAAATGGCTCCAAGTTGGACAGTCCAAGCGAGTGTATCTGAGGCTTTCTTTTATTATGTATTTGTTCTGGGGTGGAGGTGAAACATCTCCAAGGTCAGGGAAAAGGCAGAAGAGTTGGGGGGGGGGGTGCTGCAGGGTGTAAATTTCACATGGCTTGTTAAAGTCTGTGGA